GGTCGCAGGTTTGAATCCGGGGAGAGGCGGATGAGCTCCCTCTATCAGCTCCAGCTCCTCATGCGGGGACATGAGAGAAACCTCCCACAAGGATGATAAAACATCAAATCATCCAGGCGTCCTCTGGGCAGCATCCTTGCAGACGGCCAATTCTCTTACACCAGGAGTCACTCCTGACACGCCAAAAAAGAAAAAAAAAGAAAAGAAAAACCAACCCAAAAAAAACAAACCCTATGAAATCATTAGCCAAGATGAACTGTTTATTCAAAAAGAGAGGGGAAATTAGGTGCAGCACTATAGAGTTATCACCCATCCTAGGAAGAGGATATTATTCTCTTTGGGGCCTCTACCCACCAGTAGCAAAATAAGGGTTTAAAAACACCCCTTTTGCTGTGCTGTTCTCCCTCTTTATTTGGTTGCTGAACTCCACACCTTGTGCCAAATTTAGGTTCTCCTCCTCTTTGGACTGTCAAGCACTTTGTAATGCGTCTGAATATTCCCAAAATGAGTTTAAATAATTGCTTTTGAACATTCTATCAAAGCACCAAAATAGAAAACGTAACAAGACTTGCCTTTTGTAGGACTAGAGGTGCCTTTCAGCTTTTCCAGCAATAAAGTGGAGCTTATGGATTATTCATCTTAAAGCAAAGAGGAAGGATATGGAAAGCAGTAAATGAAATGTGAATACACTCCACTACCAAAGTACAGGCATAAAATTTACTAAACCTAATGATTTTTCAAATTTATTTTTCTTCTTTCTTTTATACTCAAAAGTCTATGAGGTGGAAAAGATGTCTTCTGCACTTACATGTTCTTTTTATTGATGAAGATCCTACAAGTTCTCTTTTAGTACAAACATACTGTGGAGCTGGGTTGTTGTAGGTTTTTTCGGGCTGTATGGCCATGGTCTAGAGGCATTCTCTCCTGATGTTTCGCCTGCATCTATGGCAAGCATCCTCAGAGGTAGTGAGGTCTGTTGGAACTAGGAAAAAGGGTTTATATATCTGTGGAATGACCAGGGTGAGACAAAGAACTCTTTTTTGCTGGAGCTAGGTGTGAATGTTTCAACTGGTCACCTTGATTAGCATACAATGGGCTGACTGTGCCTGGAGCAAACTTTTGTTGAGAGGTAATTAGGTAATTATTGGGGAGCTGATGTAAAAAGCAGTTTTGGCCCAGTTTTTTTAATGTGCTAAATTATTGGGAGCAATTTTAGCACATCTTTGAATCTTCTGATTGTCATTTGATATTGACCAGTTTGTTACCGAAAATGCTATGGAATCCTGGGAATTGTAGTTTTTCCTTCTCTGCTTCACCAACTTTCGGAATTTTATAGCACTGAGCCATGGCAGTGAAAGTATGTCAAACTGTATTAATTCCACAGCATATTTGCACTCCTAGATTCTGCCCCAAATTGAAAGCATTCCCTTTGCAATTTAAAATTAGCTTACCATTCTAGCGATTAAACTTTCTGATATCAACTCTTTAAAAGAGCTGCACATGTCATTTAGTTCTCTTAAGATACCACATTGAGAAACACCCAGACCAATACATTATATCCTGATAAATCAAATAATTTTGTTTTTGTTGTGTGGCTTTAAGCCAGCTTCTCCAAAATTAGTGTGACTGAAATGTGTTATATTAATTTAAAAATCTTTCTGCCTGGTTTATACTCAAAGCTAATAGCTATTATTCCAAGACTGTTGCTGCAGTTAGCCTTCCTCCTGCAGAATTAATTAAGAAATGACCTAGTTAATTTCAGTATAAATATAAAATAGAGCACCAATGTCTGTCCTTGCAGACAACTAGTTACCATTATTATCTATATAAATAAAAATGTATGGGATTAACTTAACTCAAAAACCACCGGGTAAACTGGGTTGCAGTTAAACATTAAAAAAAAAACAAGATTCTGGCAACCGGACTGATTGATAACTGGGAAATAGAGGGAGAAAACGTGGAGGCAGTGACAGACTTTGTATTTCTAGGTGCAAATATTACTGCAGACACAGACTGCAGCCTGGAAATCAGAAGATGTGTACTTCTTGGGAGGAGAGAATTGACCAATCTCAATAAAATAGTGAAGGGGGGCAGGGGACAGTTCCACCTTGTCTCCTGCATATGTTATCAGTTGGAGACCCCTCCCCCCAGGCACCAACTACTGCTCTGGGCCAGAGTGAAGAGAGAGGGTCCCAGGGGACAGCTCTATCTTGTCTCCTGCATATATAATCAGTTGGAGACACCCCCCAGCATCTATAGGAAATAAATCTATATAAATAAAAATGTAATGTTCGTTTGTGGGATTAACAGAACTCAGAAACCTACTAACCCAAGGAGTGATCATCACTAAAAAAAAATTGATTTTGTCATTTGGGAGTTGTAGTTGCTGGGATTTATAGTTCACCTACAATCAAAGAGCATTCTGAACTCCACCAATGATGGAATTGAACCAAACTTGGCACACAGGACTCCCATGACCAACTGAAAACACTAGAAGAGTTTGGTGGGCATTGGCCTTGAGTTTGGGCGTTGTAGTTCACCTACATCCAGAGAGCACTGTGGACTCAAACAATGATGGATCTGGACCAAACTTGGCACAAATATTCCATATGCCCAAATATGAACACAGATGGAGTTTGAGGGAAAATAGACCTTGACATTTGGGAGTTACTGGGATTTATAGTTCACCTACAATCAAAGAGCATTCTGAATCCCAAAAACAACAGAATTAAATTCCCCACACAGAACCCCCATGACCAACAGAAAATACTTAAGGCCATCCAGTCCAACTCTCATCACCAGGGCAAGAAAATGTAATCAGAGCCCTCCTGACAAAGATCCAGCCATAGAGATAGATAGATAGATAGATATGATTCACACACACACACACAGACATAGTATCATAGATTTGAAAGGGACCCCCAAAGAAGGACAATGATATGTTGCATATTCCAGAGCAGGCAAACCATACACTCTCCACATCAACACTGACAAAGAAACAACAAGAAATAAGGAAATTACAAGCATAAGGAAATTACATATATTAGAAACCAACACTTTCTCATTACTTTATTTTCCAGATCACCAGACTGGGCCACAGCAACGCATGGCAGGGGACGACTAGTATAATATAATATATTGCGTATACATATAATATTTATAATATTATAATGTAATGCAATATAATACTACTACTCATATATATTATAATTATATATTTATATTACATGTAATATTATTAATATTACAATATAACGGTATAGTACAATTTAGTAATATTTAATACTGAGATTGTACTATGCTAATAATATAATATAATATAATAATATAATATAATATTGTAAGCCGCTCTGAGTCCCCTTCATGGTGAGAAGGATATAATATAATATATATACTATACTATAATATAATATAATATAATATTGTAAGACGCTCTGAATCCCCTTCAGTGTGAGAAGGACAGCATATAAATGTCATAAATAAATTTAAAAAATAACAAAATAAGAGTAGAGACATCACATTGGCAACGAAGATCCGCATAGAAAAACCAATGGTATTCCCCGTAGTAACCTACGGATGTGAGAGCTGGACCATAAGGAAGACGGAGGGAAGGAAGATAGATGCTTTTGAGCTGTGGTGTTGGAGGAAAATTTTGAGAGTGCCTTGGACTGCGAGAAGATACAACCAGTCCATCCTCCAGGAAATAAAGCCCGACTGCTCATTGGAGGGAAGGATATAGAGGCAAAGATGAAGTACTTTGGCCACATAATGAGAAGACAGGAAAGCTTAGGAGACAATGATGCTGGGGGAAATGGAAGGGAAAAGGAAGAGAGGCCGACCAAGGACAAGATGGATGGATGGCATCCCTGAAGTGACTGGATTGACCTTGAAGGAGCTGGGGGAGGTGATGGCTGGCAGGGAGCTCTGGCGTGGGCTGGTCCATGAGGTCATGAAGAGTCGGAAGCAGAGTTGGAAGCAAAATGAAAAAAGATACAGAATGGGGGACAATGCCTGGCTTGAGAGCAGTACGTGTGAAAAAGATCTTGGAGTCCTCGTGGACAACAAGTTAAACATGAGCCAACAATTTGATGTGGTGGCAAAAAAAGCCAATGGGATTTTGGCCTGCATCAATAGGAGCATAGTGTCTAGATCTAGGGAAGTAATGCTACCCCTCTATTCCGCTTTGGTTAGACCACACCTGGAATATTGTGTCCAATTCTGGGCACCACAATTCAAGAGAGATATTGACAAGCTGGAATGTGTCCAGAGGAGGGCGACTGAAATGATCAAGGGTCTGGAGAACAAGCCCTATGAGGAGCGGCTTAAGGAGCTGGGCATGTTTAGCCTGAAGAAGAGAAGGCTGAGAGGAGATATGATAGCCATGTATAAATATGTGAGAGGAAGCCACAGGGAGGAGGGAGCAAGCTTGTTTTCTGCTTCCCTGGAGACTAGGACGCAATGGAACAATGGCTTCAAACTACATCTGAACATGAGGAAGAACTTCCTGACTGTGAGAGCCGTTCAGCAGTGGAACTCTCTGCCCCGGAGTGTGGTGGAGGCTCCTTCTTTGGAAGCTTTTAAACAGAGGCTGGATGGCCATCTGTCAGGGGTGATTTGAATGCAATATTCCTGCTTCTTGGCAGGGTTGGACTGGATGGCCTATGAGGTCTCTTCCAACTCTTTGATTCTTTGATTCTAGGTGGGCTAGGGAAAGGCAACATCCGGGTCCTTATGCTTTCATTCACCATTGCAAGAGAAGTGTTTACAGAATGAAGGCGACCCATGTCGACCAATAGCCAATCGCCTTTCCTCTCTACCAAACTTGGAAAAACAAGCCGGTATCCATAGCGATTCCTGGGAGGAAAGAGGAAGAGAGGTGATGTCATTGTATGCAACCGAACCGCTTGGAACCCTCCACCAATGAGAGCCTGGATTTCGAGGAGCGATATTTGCATCTCCCCGCCCCTTTCCTTTCCAGGTGGGTCGAGGCAACCAATAGGAGACGGGCAGGGAGCGGACGCTCGCTTTTTGAATTGCGTGCTGCGGGTGACTCTCGAATGGCGGCTTTGCAGGGAAGAGGCGCCTCAGCATTAGCGGACTGAATGGTGAGGCCACCAAGGCGGGAAGGAGGAGGGAATGAGAAGGGCCTGGGCCTCGTGGAGAGTGGCTAGTGAGGGCTATGGCAGCTGGAGGCGGGCTGGAGCAAAAGTGGGGAAGAACTTCCTGACTGTGAGAGCCGTTCAGCAGTGGAACTCTTTGCCCCGGAGTGTGGTGGAGGCTCCTTCTTTGGAAGCTTTTAAACAGAGGCTGGATGGCCATCTGTCAGGGGTGATTTGAATGCAATATTCCTGCTCCTTGGCAGAATGGGGTTGGACTGGATGGCCCATGAGGTCTCTTCCAACTCTTTGATTCTATGATTCTAGAATTGACAAGCTGGAATGTGTCCAGAGGAGGGCGACTAAAATGATAAAAGGTCTGGAGAACAAGCCCTATGAGGAGCGGCTTAAGGAGCTGGGCATGTTTAGCCTGAAGAAGAGAAGGCTGAGAGGAGATATGAGAGCCATGTATAAATATGTGAGAGGAAGCCACAGGGAGGAGGGAGCAAGCTTGTTTTCTGCTTCCTTGGAGACTAGGACGCGGAACAATGGCTTCAAACTACAAGAGAGGAGATTCCATCTGAACATGAGGAAGAACTTCCTGACTGTGAGAGCCGTTCAGCAGTGGAACTCTCTGCCCGGAGTGTGGTGGAGGCTCCTTCTTTGGAAGCTTTTAAACAGAGGCTGGATGGCCATCTGTCAGGGGTGCTTTGAATGCAATATTCCTGCTTCTTGGCAGAATGGGGTTGGACTGGATGGCCCATGAGGTCTCTTCCAACTCTTTGATTCTATGAGTTAATGCGGTTTGATCCCACTTTAACTACCATGACCCTGTGGAGTCTTCAGATTTCTTTGGCAGAGAAAGCTAAGAACCCTGTAGAACTGCAACTCCCAGGATTACATAACACTGAGCCTTAGCAGTTAAAGTGGTGCCAAACCGCGTTAATTCTAAAGTGTAGATGCACTTGAGGCAGTGATTACATTCCAGTTCCCTTTCACCTCTTGGTAACGTTGTTTTTTTGGACTCTGGGCTTGATGGGAGTTGTAGTCCTCGACTGACTCTCCCCAATAAAACTAAGAATTAGAGATATTAGGGATCATATCTTTCTGTAATAGCTTTCATTTTTTTCTCCTGCTCCAGTAATCCAATTTAGACAGGTATTGGCCAACTTGGGCCCTCCAGGTGTTTTGGACTTCAACTCCCACAATTCCTAACAGCCTACCGGCTGTTAGGAATTGTGGGAGTTGAAGTCCAAAACACCTGGAGGGCCCAAGTTGGCCATGCCTGACTTTAGAAGCCTTTTCCATGGAAGTAATTAGTGTAATTCCTAGTATATACTGTAATCCTGTTTCCAAGTACAGCTTGAGTATCCCTTGTGCAAAATGAGACCAGAAGTGGGTTCTTTTTTGAAAAATCTGATTTTGGAATATTTGTATATACAGGCAGTCTTCAAGTTTAACTTACTATGATTTTATTATGCTTTTAGTTGTATTTGTGTATGGATTTTCTATTGTGTCCCTCCCCAGAGGTTGAGAAGACTGGGGTATAAAAGTTTAAAATAATAATAGTAATAAGTTGTAAACATCTGATTTACAAAGGACTTAAGGATGAGGGTGAGACAACAGGAAGTGAATGAAATATACCCCTAGGAAAGGAAATGCACTCCTGGAAGAGTTATCATGGGGAAAAAGGCATCTTAGCTGAAGCTGGAATCTTTCTCGCCAACCCTTGTTTCCGCAACAAGCCACGTTTTCCAAAATCCAATTATTACAGGGAAAGGAATTGAGGTGGAATCTTCTGAACAGGGGCACAGACAGCAAAACAAACACCACAAGGATGTTAACCTTTCCCTATGCTATCCAAAGTATACACACATACATACATACATACATATATCTGGAGTTACACTCAGGAGTTACTTTTTCTGACTTAGAAATAACTTAAGAACAAACCTACAGAATCTATCTTGTTTGTAACTTGGGGCCTGCCTGTCCACAATTTTGCAGATCGGACGCAAGATATTAACTCATGTTTCTTTAATAGTTTCGTATCCACCTTATACACATGCCCTAAAAGTAATTTAATGCATAGTATTTTAAAACTGGGCTCCCAGTGGGTACAGTGGGTTAAACCACCGAGCTTCTGAACTTGCTGACTGCAAGGTTGGTGGTTCAAATCCAGGGAGCAGGGTGAGCTCCTGCTGTTAGGCCCAGCTTCTGCCAACCCAGCAGTTTGAAAGCATGCAAGTGTGAGTAGAGATCAGTAGGTACCACTTTGGCAATAAGGTAACTGCACTCCATGCAGTCATGCTGACCACATGACCTTGCAGGTGTCTATGGACAAAGCCAGCTCTTCGTCGTAGAAGTGAAGATGAGCCCCCCCCCCCCCCAGAGTTGGACATGACTAGACTTAATGTCAAGGGAAATATTTACCTTACTTTTATTTTTAAATAATTTCCCACATGAAACAAAGTTTATGTGCAAGGAATCATCAGAAAGCAAAGGAGTCACAATCTTAGCCATCAATGTGGATAGTTTTGTATTTTGGAGGATTTGGGATTTCTGCGAAAGGGACACTCAACCTGTATGTGAAGATTTTCTGCTATATGGCCATTGATGAGAGACATACTCATAATGCTCCTGTGCTTACCCTTGCATGCATTTATTTGAGATCTCTGTGTTTAAAGTATTTATTTATTTATTTATTGTGTCAAGAGCAACCAGACAGTTGTATTACATTTTTAACAAAACAAACAAACAGACAAAACACAAAGTTTGCAAGCTTGGTAGTTGATTAAATGTCCTTTGACCAGTAGCTGGCCACTTGGAGTGCCTCTGGTGTTGCGGCAAGAAGGTCCTCCATTATACATGTAGCAGGGCTCAGGTTGCACTGCAGCAGGTGGGTCTGTAGTTTGCTCTTCCCCACACTCGCATGTCGCAGATTCCACTTTGTGGCCCCATTTCTTAAGGCTGGTTCTGCATCTCGTTACTGTGTTTAATGTAAAGGTGGGGAACAGGTGGCCCTGCAGGTGTTGCTGGGTTTCTGCTCCAATAATTCCTGATGGTTGGAGCTTTAACTGCGGAAGGGTTTGTGGAGATGAAAGAGATGCTCTTCTTTGTTATCATGGTGAATAACATGCTTGACGTATCTTTGAAATTATCTCCTTTTTTAAAAAAAGTCCATGTAAGATGGTGGACTGTTGGCAGGTGCCTTGTTATTTCATCAAGCCAGTTAAAATAGAACTGTTGTTTTTTAGCGCCCTTCCACACTGCCCTTTATCCCAGGATCTGAACCTAGATTATCTGTTTTAAACTGGAATATATTAGTCCCCACTGCCAGATAACCTGGGATAAACAGATAATCTGGGATCACATCCTAGGAAAAATGGGCAGTGTGGAAGTGCTTTAGATAGCAGGTATCATTTCTGATCTTTCACAACAAGAATGGTGCTGAAAAGACAAATTCACAACTAGGAATTGCACTAGCCTTGGCCCGGCCTTTTTAAATTGCCTTGAACAGGCAGGATTATTTTAACTATGTATGTGCTATTGTGAGTTTTTATGCTTAAACCGCATTGAGTCGCCTGTTTGGGCTGAAAAATGCGGTATAGAAATAAAGCAAATAAATAAATAAATAAATAATTATATTGTTTTGCTAATTTTATGTTTATGTTGTTTACTCTGTATGTATTGATGATGTTATTGGTAACTGCTCTGAGTCCCCTCGGGGAGATAGAGCGGTATATAAATAAAGTTTTGTTGTTGTTATAATGTGCAGTTGAAACCTAATAAGGTACTCAACCAGCATATTCTGAATTTCCTGCTAACTATGTTGTTACAGTTGATTTTATTAATCCCTTCCGTGGTACATAATGGATGTTGACCAAGTATATGTTATGTAAACAGTATTGGTTATCAATGACATGAGATACGGAAAGAGCAATAGTGGGAACGATAGACTTCAGTGATTCTGAATCTGTATGGTCACTAATGAACAATATTGCAGGTTTGAGTCTGATTAGAAAAGCTGTGTTCAAATTGCAGCTTTGCGACAAGCTTTGAATTTGGGCTCCTTCTGTATACAACAGAAATGCCATAGACATTGAGAATGATATTTGAAAAGAGGTCTAGGAAAACAAGTCTGCATGTGATGTTGCAAATGTAGTTTTTTTAGAATTGTGATTTAATCCTTGACTGTATCTTTTAGTTGGAAAGTGTGCTACTGTATGACCTACATATTTGGAATGTTTCAGGCAGGTCTTATGAATGGAATTTATGTTACTCAGATGGGGAGTGCATTTTAATTTCTTCGTGTGAATCACTGAACTCACAGCTTGGATGCTGCCTCTTTGCCACATTGTTTGCTGGTGATCTTGTGAATGATGCCTAATTTGCATGCCTAGTAATTGGTTGGAAAAACACTTTCTCCCCAGTTGGGTTCCACATTGTATATGTTAATGCTTGGCTTCACTAATCACATGGTTTGCTCAGCTTGTGCAATTCCTTTCCGTACCAGCACTTGTCCTGCAATTTGCTGATGTGGGAAATAGCCATGTTAGCCACTGTAATCAATGGGTGATTCATGCATTGAGTCTTTGTGATGCCCTCAGGATCTAGATCCATGTATTTTTGTGGCTTGCCTTGTTGAGGTGACAAGTAGAAATAGAGCTGAATGTTGTTGTGGTATTAATAGCACCTCACAACAGATCTTTATGATTTCACCCAATGACCTTACATAAACGTGAAAGGCTATGGGAGATAAGGTTATCCTTTATGGGATCTTAGAACTCATGTCATGGCGCTTAACAAGCTATCTCCACGCTATTGCTTTCTGAAATTGGCCTCACAGGTAAGGAGTGAAAGCACCATACCACATTCCTTCAACCATTATTGTTAGTACAGTATTCTTTTTCTGTTTGTAAGGGAATTTCTTGCCTGTTCAAAGAACACTGTGAGATGGAGACCTCTGCAGAAAGGTTGTTGTACTGCCTGGCAGAGTGCTGGGGACTAGATATGTCCACAAAATTCGTTCCTGCCGTTTCTTTTGTGTCGTCTGTTTCTTCAGAAGTACGAAATGAGAACTCACATGAAAAGCTGCTCGACACAAAAGCCTGCTTTTGTGTGCATCCGAACTTGCCTCCTTGCCACGGAAAGAGAGTGAGTGTGTGGTGGGGCATACAGGTAGGCCCAGAACTCAGCTGCAGGCACACTCTGGGACCTGCCTGCACATCCTGCCACACATGCACTCTTGGAGAGTGTGGCAGGGCGTGTGTGGTGGACCATGCAGACAGGCAGTCCTGGAGCATGGCTGCAGGCCCTTCCACATACACATTCTCAGAAAGTGTGGCGGGGCATGCAGGCAGACCTTGAGCGTGCCTGCAGCTGAGCACCTCTTACTCTAGAGTAGAAACAGCAGGTGCCAGGTAAGAAGGAACACACACTGGGGAGGGGAGCAAGTGGGCCAGAAGCTAAATATGTTCAAAATAAAACTTACTAATAACTCAGCTTAGAAGTTTGAGAGTCCACTATTCTCAGTAAGTGCCAGTAAGTGGGGAGTGTCTTTTATAATGGAATGTGTGTTCTTACAGAAGAGCACATTCCAACTCTTAAACCCTTTTTGTCCAGGCGGCAATGAAAATTCAGGCTAAATTTATTGCTGATATTGTAGTGGATTCTTATGGAGATGCTCTCAGCTAATCTAATTTTGTCTAATCTAAATTTTTAGTATTGTTTATATTCAGTGTGTTGTATTATACTTTAATGGTATTGAATTTCAGTGTACAAGATCTATGTGCCAATTATTTTATGTTGAACCTTTATGTGTTGTTTTATATTGCTGTACTTTTACATCATATTTATTTACTTGTATGCGATTGGCCTATGGTCTAAGCATGAATAAAAGCAAACACACACATAGCTTTGTCGAAGGCTTCCATGGCCAGAATCACTGGGTTGCTGTAAGTTTTTCGGACTCCGTGGCCATGTTCCAGAAGCATTCTCTTCTGACGTTTCACCTGCATCTATAGCAGGCTTCCTCAGGGGATGCCTGCCAGAAATGCAGGTGAAACGTCAGGCCATGACTCTGTATAAACAGTATTTTTAAGAACATTTGGCTCAGTGCATCGTAAAACGTTTGAACACTTGAAACAGAGAAATAATACATCTAAAAAACAGCCCCCTATCAAAGATGTTCAAACTCAAACAAAATCCCTTTGCCACCCCCTTCTCACTTGAAGTCTGGGGATCTTATTGAGGAAGCAAAAGCTCATAATTGTATGAATGTGGTAAATAAAAGTGTTGGAAATAACAACCTTCTACAAGCCTTCTATACTAGTTATTTGTTATGTATATAATTCAGATTGCTTACTGTATTATATATGTGTGTATTGACATTCAGTTTTCCTTAACACTGTTGTGGGAGGGGCTGCAGACTATGTGATCAGATCTGGTACTTGTTCAGATCTCTCTCTGATTATCAAAGTGATTAGAACCAGAATGCTTTAGAGAACAGACTATTAGACTCTCAGAAAAGAGAGACGCTTTAGATTTTGAACTATTGATTATAAGAAAGGTGCCCTAGATTGTCGGCACACAGGCATTGCTTCAGTTCCTACCTGTAACTGGATTGATATGTAATATACCTCTATGCTGAATACATTAAGTTTGTGATTAAACCAACTATGTTATTTTAAAGAAGTCTACTTATCTTTGATCTCTCGAGAGCATGATTTAAATCAGGATGTTTTAGGGAAGAGTAGATGTTTTTTGGGCGATTTATTTATTTACTGTATATATATATACCATCCCACACAGCCCGCAGGCAACTTGGGGCAATTTAAAGTTGGTACCAAGACCATAAAATACAATTTCAGTACAATAAAACAATCAAGTAATAAAACCATGACAAAATCAGTAAAAACATGAACATTAGGTTCTCTTGTTAAAAACATTGTCCAATCACATCATCCAACCATTTGAAGAGAACCGTTCTGAAACTCTGCTATATATGTTTTTGTGCATTGGCATTTCTTTGTTCCTAACACTTCAAAGAGATATCTAAGTATATCAGTCTAACAGCTGAGAAACCTAATTGCCTTGCATGAATGTCAGTGGATATTTACCACTAGGGAGAAGGTGTTTAACTCCTTTCAGGAAGATCATTCTTTACAAAAGGTTACAATCTCTAACAAGATCATGCCTTTCCAAAAGATTCCTGGTTTTCCCAAAAGGTTATGAATGCAATTAAAAAAAATAAAGGTGCATTCATAATGTCCTTAAGAAGCAAGCCTCAGCAATGGAATCCTGTTGAAATTAGGCTAGATCTACATGCCATATAAATTTGTTTTCAACTGGAATGTATGAGTCTACACTGACATATAATCCAGTTCAAAAAATAGTCTGGATTTAGAAACTGGATTATATAGATGTAGGTTTACACTGCCAGTTTTGCATACAGTGTGACTGGTTTTAAAGACTATTTGGATAAATGTACTGTTCTGTGTATCTCTTACCTAACATTTTTAACCACAACTGCATTTTATCTTGTAGCTGTAGAAGGAAAATATTATTTTAATTATGGCTGACAATAGTACACTTATCGCCGAAACGGGGAAGAGCATCTTGGCAGATTCTTCTATTCTTGACTCCAGAAGTACCGAAACCTCAAAGGACAACATATTCACACGATCTGCTTCTGATGGGGAAGGTAAAGGAGAAAACAGTAGTTACTTTCAAATGTGGGGAGTAACTATTTGCAACAGAATATATTACAGCAATGTTTGATCACTGCAACATTGTAACATCAAACATCAGTTGCACTTTTCTTCTAGTCTTTTAGGATGTGAGAATTTTAATGCACAATATCATTTGAAAATACTTTGGTGCTAGACAAAAACAAAAACATTAAAGCTGTCTGTCTAGACCTGTACTCTGTATAAATTATTTCTGTCTTGCTTTTTGGAGTCCTACTGGTGCCCAGGAGGAAATCAGAAAAAACAAACACCAAGAGAATCATAGAATCATAGAGCTGGAAGAAACCACATGGGCCATTCAGTTAAACCTCCTGTCATGCAGGAAAAGTACAGTCAAAGCAATTATTTATATATAAAAATGGGTATCCAGCTGAGTTCAGTGTTCAGTTATGGCATTTGAGATGGGAGCTGTATACTGCTATGGTACCTTTTTTTAAAAAAAAAACTCATGCTTCCAACTGACTGACTTATATAAAAAAAGATTTTAGACAGGTAAGCTATACTTTTTAATTAGTACTGTTGCTGGGCTCTTTCTGCTATTTTATGTTTTTATTTAATATTTTGACAACTTAAAGGTACATTTTATGGCTGTAATTTATTGACATTGGAGAAAAACACAGTATAAATATAATAAATACATTCCTTAAGCTGGCTTCCATTAATAATAATAATAATAATAATAACAACAACAACAACAACAACAACTTTATTTTTATACCCAACCAACCATCTCCTCTAGGGGACTCGGGGCGGCTTACAAGAGACACGTCCAAGATTACAATTGAAACACACATGTAAAACACTTTAACCAATTAAAACATCAGATAAAACAAATAACAACACAATTAAAAGCTATATAGAAACAATACGGCTGAAAAAAAATAGCTGAGGTATAGATTCAATGAGTGCAATACATATTTATAGGATTTCCATTATTGGGAAATCCCTCTTGTGGCCACCAGTTCTTTCTTAAATGGAACATAGAGTATATTTTTTTCTTCGGACATCATCCATATGATGGTATCTCCCTCTATGAACCATCTCGGTTAAGATCGTCCGGGGAGACCTTGCTCTCGGTCCCACCTCCTTTGCAAGTGCGATTGGTGGGAATGAGAAACAGGGCCTTCTCAGTGGTGGCGCCTCAACTATGAAACTCCCTCCCCAACACAATTAGATCAGCGCCTTCCCCCTTGGCCTTCAGAAAAAAAGTAAAGACATGGCTGTGGGATGAAACCTTTGGGCAGTAAGCAATACAAGGAACGAACAAGGATTATGTGCAATTGATATTTGATATTGGAATGGCCTTGGACTATTATTTTTTGGATTATGTGATTTCTATGTTTATATTAATATGTTTCTATGTTTATATTAATATGCTTTTAACCTCATGTTTTAATGTCTAAAACATGAGGTTAATCGAGAGTTATATTTTATTGTTTCATGTTAGGTTTTGTGTATGTATGTTAGGCAATTAATTTTGTTGTGAAAATGTTGGAAACCACTTTGAGCAAATAAATAAATAAATCCAGAAAATAATCAGACGCTCCAGGGAGTATGAAGGATGGGAATGATGTTGAGCTTTAAGACTTCATTTGGAATAAGCTGGTGTTATCAGATCCTTGTTAGTGTTTTTACACCAACGTGAGAGAATACCAGTGACAGGAAGGCTTCGCTGAAAGATATTTACTGCAACAACAACAACAAGAAGAACAACAAAAAGGCCAATGAGTCAACAGAAATATCATGCCCAGTTTAAGGGACTACTTTATTGTTTTGGTCTGACCTTACCTGGAATGCATTGTCCCGTTATGGATGCCATTATTGACAGGGGTTTTGGCAAGGTGAAACATTTCCAGAGGAGGGCAATTAAGATGGTAAAAGGTCTGTAGGCTAGACCCTATTGAGAGAAATGGATATGTTTAGTCTTGGCAAGAGAAGTCAGAGCCATCTTCAAATATACAAAGGGTTGTCTTGTAGAAAATGTAATTAGGAAGAACAGTTGTCTTCTCTCTCTTCCTCTCTTCTCTGCCCTTGCCTCTAGTGTACAGATAACTTGCTTTATCTTCTCTGTAATTAGTTTTGGGTCTGGATGCTGATTATATTCTCCGTTCTCTGCCTTATCCCCAGCAGAGGAAATGCCCCAGGTTGAAACCAGAGTCGTTCTAGTTCAGGAAGCTGCAAATTGTGAAGAACTTCTGAAAGCTTTAGAGGTACGTGGATATATGTGTGTGTGTGTGTGTGTGTGTGTGTGTATATGTATATGAGTCAATGGTGTTGAAATCTTCAACATCATTTGAAACTTGAAACATCAAGACTGGTTTGATGAAAATGACATCGAGATCCAACAGCTAATTGACAAGAAAAGGAAAGCCTTCCAAGCATGGCAGAGAGACATCAACTGTGCTGCTAAGAAAAAGATCTATGCCAGTGCAAAAGCTGAGGTCCAAAGAAGGACAAGAGAACTCAAGAACATCTGGTGGACAAAGAAGGCCGAAGAAATCCAACACCTGGCAGATACCCATAATGCTCAGGGATTTTTCAAAGCCACAAAGGTCATCTACAGACCAAGAAACCATGGCATACAGCCTCTACGCTCATCAGATGGAACCAAACTCCTGAAGGACCAAAACTCAATTGCACTACGTTGGAAAGAACACTACCAAAGCCTCCTGAACCGCAGCTCCAATGTGGCCGAAGAGGTCCTCTCACAAATCCCACAACAACAAACCAGGGATGAGATTGCAGCACTGCCCAGTTTGGAAGAAGTCAGCAATGCCATCAGCCAACAGAAGAATAACAAAGCCAGTGGACCAGATGGGATCCCTGCTGAAATCTTTAAAGAGGGAGGACCTGAGCTGACACACCAACTCCACCAGCTCATAGAAAAAGTGTGGGTGACCGAGAAAATCCCAGCAGATTTCAAGGACGCCACCATCATCACCCTCTTCAAAAAAGGGGAAAGAACAGACTGCGGAAAACTATCGAGGTATCTCCCTTCTAACCTCCGCTGGGAAAATCCTCGCAAGAATCCTTGCAAACCGCCTTCTGCCCCTCTCAGAAGACACCCTCCCAGAATCCCAGAAGGCTTCCGCCCCTCCAGAGGAACCGTGGACATGATCTTCACTGCACGACAGCTCCAAGAAAAATGCAGGGAACAAAACAACCTCTGTACATGGCATTCATCGACCTTGCAAAGGCATTCGACACAGTGAATCGCAGCGCTCTCTGGACCATCCTCCACAAATCGGATGCCCTAACAAATTTGTGAACATCCTGCGGCTCCTCCATGATGACATGATGGCAACAGTCTTGGACAGCAATGGCTCCCAAAGTGACCCATTTAAAGTGGAATCGGTGTCAAACAGGGATGTGTTATTGCCCCAACTCTATTCTCCATCTTCATCGCTATGATACTTCACCTTGTTGATGGGAAGCTTCCCACCGGAGTGGAAATAATCTATCGGACAGACGGCAAGCTATTCAACCTCAGCAGACTGAAAGCCAAAACCAAGGTTACAACAACAGCTGTTATAGAACTCCAGTATGCTGATGACAATGTCGTCTGTGCACATTCAGAAGAAGATCTACAAGCCACTCTAAACACCTTCGCAGAAGCATATGAGAAGCTCGGCCTGTCACTGAACATTGAGAAAACCAAGGTGCTGTTCCAGCAGTCACCAGCCAATCCCTCTCCAATGCCAGTAATACAGCTTAATGGTGTCACATTAGAAAATGTGGACCATTTCCGCTACCTTGGCAGCCACCTCTCCACCAAAGTCAACATCGACGCCGAAATACAACACCGCCTGAGCTCTGCAAGTGCAGCATTTTCCAGAATGAAGCAGAGAGTGTTTGAGGACCGGGACATCCGTAGGGAGACCAAGGTGCTTGTCTATAAAGCTATTGTCCTCCCAACCCTGCTCTATGCCTGTGAGACGTGGACTGTCTACAGACGTCACATGCAGCTCCTGGAACGTTTCCATCAGCGCTGCCTCCGGAAAATCCTGCAAATCTCCTGGGAAGACAAGCGGACAAACGTCAGTGTGCTGGAAGAAGCAAAGACCACCAGCATTGAAGCGATGGTCCTCCAACATCAACTCCGCTGGGCCGGCCACGTTGTCCGGATGCCTGACCACCGTCTCCCAAAGCAGTTGCTCTACTCCGAACTTAAGAACGGAAAACGGAACGTTGGTGGACAGGAAAAGAGATTTAAAGATGGGCTCAAAGCAAACCTTAAAAACTCTGGCATAGACACTGAGAACTGGGAAGCCCTGGCCCTTGAGCGCTCCAGCTGGAGGTCAGCTGTGACCAGCAGTGCTGCAGAATTTGAGGAGGCACGAGTGGAGGGTGAAAGAGAGAAACGTGCCAGGAGGAAGGCACGTCAAGCCAACCCCGACCGGGACCGCCTTCCACCTGGAAACCAATGCCTCACTGCGGAAGAAGATGCAGAGCAAGAATAGGGCTCCACAGCCACATACGGACCCACAAGGAAATCCATAATGGAAGACCATCTTACTCGTCCAACGAGGGATCGCCTAAGTAAGTAAGTAAGTAAGAGTCAATGGTGTTGAAATCTTGTTGCAATTGGAATTTGGGATAATATTCTCATTCTCATGCTAAAGTTTTCCTCTTCTGCAGACTGTTAAGATAATGGAAGTTCCAGTGATAAAGATAAAAGAAATTAGTTCTGGTAAATCGGAAGAAAAAGTAATAAAAAGTATTATACAAATGGTATGTTGGGGCAACTGTGTGTATATGAGTCTGCATGCAGCATGTTGCGTTTGAGGCCGACTGGGGGAAATCACTGCTATTGCAACATGGTAAAAAGATGAAATTAATGACACAGGTGTAGCAAATGGTGCACAGTGAAGCTAGCTAAACTGAAACTTACACTAGCTTTGAAACTCTTCAGATGTCTATTCTGGTTCTGAGTTTATTATTCATTCATTGCGATATGACCTCTGTATCTGTGGTTTCATCTGTCCACATCTGATGTTCTCTAGGTATCCGTTTCCCCACAAAGTCTGGAAACGGATACCATGTGGATATTTTGGCCATACAATAGTTACCTTTATGTTCCACTTTTCATCCAATGAATTCAAAGTAACCTTCCTCTTCTGCCCTTTATCATCACAACAAATCATGAATCAGATCAGGCTGAGGAAGAGTAAATGGCCAAAAGTCAACTACTGATCTTCATGTCAGAGTGGGGACTTGAACCTGAATGTCTTAAGACCCTTTTCAGTGTTCATACTACTCTGCCAAGTTATTCTCCAACGAATATGTTCAGGCACATCTATGATTACTAGAGTTATGAGCATTACACCTAAAAAGTAGAATTCAAATTGCTTCTATTATAACTTGTATTCTTTGTCTTGAAAAAAGCAGTCATGTTTCTGTTGAACTAGCTTCCAGCTGAATGGTTTTCTTCTGTCAGGTTTTTTTATATATACTGTATATACCAGAGTATAAGCCGACCCGAAATGGGAACACATATTGACTCATGGGAAATGCAGCAGCTACTGGTAAATTTCAAAATAAAGATACCAATAAAATTGCATTGAGACATCAATAGGTTAAATGTTTTTTTTAATATTTACATAAAACTGTCATTTAAGATAAGACTGTCCAACTCTGATTAAACCTTTATTCTAACCTCCTTCAATGTAAATGTGATTACGTGTCCTTCCAATAATAATAGAGTAAAATAATGGCAATGTAATAATAATATTAATAATACAGTAAAATAATAAATGTAATAATAATAGATAAAATAATAAATATAATAATAATAGATCAAAAGAATAAATGCAAAAAAGTAATAATAATAGAGTAAAATAATGTAAATGTAATAATAATAATAATAATAATAATAATAATAAATAGAGTAAAATAATAAATGTAATAAAAATAATAATAATAACAGAGTAAAATAATAAATAACTTTGATTGGCGTATAAACCAAGGGGAGCTTTTTCAGTCTTAAAAAAGGCTGAAGTACTCGGCTTATACACGAGTATATACAGTAATTTGTTTTCTCATAGTTATTTTCACTTATTTGAAAAAAAGGAATAATCCTGTTGTAAAATTGAGGGGAGCAATGTGTTGGGGCACTCTGGTATGAAACTTTATGTATAAATAAAATTTGGTTTCTTGTAAACACTTCAAGGAAATTAAAGTGCCCTACATAAGGACGGACGCAGTGGATGAGTACCAGGACTCTGATTCACTGGAGTTTGAGACGGTTTTTGTGGTAGCAGACTTTCAAGACTCTGTTTTCAATACGTTGTACAAGGCAGAGTGCCGAATCCTTGGGCCTCCAATAGTACTGCAGTGTGCTAGAAAAGGCGAGGTAAGAATACAGGGTATGAAACTTTGAAATGATGAGCTTCTGTTTTGAATTGTATTATTTGAGTATTTGAATCCAATTAATGGGTTTTCCCGAACTGTTCTGTGTTGAATTCTTGCTCTGATTTCTGACTCAGAGCACTTCTAAAGTAGCTTGCAAATAAACAGGAAAAATAAAACTTCACTAAAATCGCCAGTAAAATAAGTTGTAGCCCACAATAAAATCTTGAACAACAGGCAATATAGATTTACTTGGTTACTATTTCACTCTTACATCCTCATGTACAAAACTAGATAACTATTTAAAGCTTCCTACTGGGAAGTCCTGGAGCAGTATATGAGTGCAATAGCTCTTTTCTGCTCATATTGCCAGCAACTGATAATAGGAGGCATCCTGTCTTTGACGGTGGGGATTGTACTTAACCATCACAATTTGTTGCTGTAATTCTTTATTAAAATAGTTGGATTTTAACTAAAACAGATTGGAAGTGACTCCCATATTGTTATGGTTATAAATAACTCTGCATTGTGGTTTCATGAATAGTAGAATCAGTCCTATTGGAGTATGTTTTCTATTAATACTTGTTTAACTGTTAACAGTAATTTTCTTTAATAATTACCAATACAGTAGTTCTGTCATGCTTTAAAGACCAATACATTTATTATGGCATAAGTATTCTTTGGCCGCTCTGGTCCTCGTAAACTTATGCCATATTAATTTTTTAAAAGATATCATTTTTTTTAAAAGATATCATTTTTTTTTGTTTAGCAACAACATGTAACTGTCAAATCCTTGAGAAACAGATAACTGATTTATCTAATTCTGTTTTAGCCTCTGCCTTTTTCATGTCGTCCACTTTACTGTGGAAGTATGATGGATCTTGTGTTGTGCTTCACAGGCTTCAGGAAGAAAGAAGAATTGGTAAGTCTGCCTTCTACACATCTGAGAGTAGCTATTGAGAAGTTGTGGGACTGAGTATTGAGCAGTTTACTTGCTGCTTTAAGTTTAGTACTGATCACAGATCTGCGAGTGAGGCCTTAACTGTTGAAGTTTCTTCTAGATACATTCAGCAGGTTCTTCTACTCTACACAGGAGAGAATAGTTCATTATCAAATAATGAATTACATGTTGATCATAAGCTAGGGCAGTGTTTCTTAACCTGGGGGTCGGGACCCCTGGGGGGTTGTGAGGAGGTTTCAGAGAGGTCTCCAAAGACCATCAGAAAATATATATTTCTGATGGTCTTAGGAACCCCTTTGGCAGAGAAGGCTGAAGATCTCTCCGTCTGCCCTTCTCTTCCTTTTGGAAACAGGAGACTCCCAAGTGGGGAGGGGAGAGTGTGGTGCGCATGTGCGGGTGAGGGACAGCATGTGAGGTTGGAGGGAGCTCACGCCAGCGAGTCCCTTCAAGGCATGGAGGTTTTGTTTGGGAAGTTTGGCCCAATTCTTTCATTGGTGGGGTTCAGGATGCTTTGACGTAAGTGAACTATAAATCGCAGGAACTACAACTCCCAAACTCTACCAGTGTTCACATTTGGGCATATTGAGTATTCATGCCAATTTTGGTACAGATCTGTCATTGTTTAAGACCAGGGTGATCTCTGGATGTAGGTGAACTACATTTCCAAAACTCAAGGTCAATGCCCACCAAATCCTCCCAGTATTTTCTGTTGGTCATGGGAGTTTGATTGTAGGTGAACTATAAATCCCAGCAACCACAACTCATCAATCCCTGCCCCGCAACCCCACCAGTATTCAAATTTGGGCATATTGGGTATTTGTGCCAAATTTGGTCCAGTGAATGAAAATACATTCTGCATATCAGATATTTACATGATGATTTATAACAGTAACAAAATTACAGTTATGAAGTATCAACAAAAATAATGTTATGGGGGGTCGCAGCATTAGGAAGGTTGAGAAACACTGAGCTAACGGGATCTGGCTTCAAATCTGTAGTCAGTTTTTAAGCTTACTAGAAGATCTTCAGATGAGGCTCAGTGGCATGCCCAACTGTCAAAATGTTTTTGTGAAACTAAAATGTAAATAAGGTCATATATGCAAACTTTGGATTCTGCTGTGGAGAAAATCTTGACTCAATTGTGGTGAATAGAAGTTGGTAATAATATTCGAAATGCCCAGCACTTAGGGTTCAGGATGGTGCATAGTAAAGTAGCTTGAAGAACTTTTCTTTGGAGAGGAAATAAAATTACTTTGCATTATGGATACATGTTAGCTCTATCTTGACAATAGTCTTTTTACACAGTAAATAAGAAATTGACTGTATTCTAACTTTGTTCATAGGTTAAACTGGTGACTTTGGCACATCATATGGGAGGCATTATTCGTCGGGATTTTTGTTCAAAGGTTACTCATCTAGTGGCTAATTCAACACAAGGAGACAAATTCAGAGTATGTGAAATTGACACTGGGTTTGATCTTTCTTTTTGTACATACTAGAACGTACAATTTAAAGGACTACGTGTACTGTATGTGAAAGTAAATGTCACCATTGTGTAACATGGGCTTAAAATCAATGGATGGCCTTGTTATAACTCATCAAAAAACAAATGGGAAGAGAAACCTTACCTGGGTATGTGGGATACACCAAGTTGGATTCCACGCTGAGTAGCAGGGTTCTGTTCTTGGCTTGATGCTGAATTTATAAATGCATAAATTCAGCATCAGCCAGTATCTGTTGTTTTGGTCATTGACTGATTATATATAGATGGATATGGGACATGAGGTTTTTTATTTATATATATATATATATATATATATATATATATATATATATATATATTCAAAAAACAACCCTGCATAATATTTATCGTATATACTCATGTATATAAGTCCCCCTCAGCTTATACTTAAGTCAAAGTTACTTATTATTTACTCTGTTGTTATTATTATTATTATTATTATTATTATTACATTTATTATTTTACTATATTATTATTGTTAGATTTATATTTTTACTCTATTATTATTACATTTATTATTTTACTGTATTATTACTGTTACTACATTTCCATTATTATTCTCTGTTATTTTATTACATTTATTATTTTACTCTGTATTATTATTGGAAGGATAGGTAAGCACATTTACATTGAAGAAGGTTAGAATAATTCTTTAATCCGAGTTGGATAGTCTTATCTTAAACTGCAGTTTTATGTAAATATTAAAAACATTTAACCTACTGATGCCTCAATTAATGTAATTTTATAGGTATCTATTTTTAATTTGAAATTTATCAGTAGCTTCTGCATTTCCCACCCTTGGCTTATATTGAGGTTAATACGTTTCCCAGTTTTTTGTGGGTTGGCTTATACTTGAGTATATATGGTATTTCTTATCTGCTTCTCCCTGCGGATTGAGGTGCGAACAAATTAAATGCATAATATAGTTTAAAAAGTATATAAAACACACACACACACACACAAACACACACATTTAATACAAACTGTAAAATTCAATATTTAGAAATCATACACAAACTTTCTGAAAGAAATTCATCTTTCGTACAGCTTTAACCTCAGTTGCCTTAACTGAATCAATGGCTCATCTAGCCCTGTGTGGTTGATGTTAAATTGGCAGTGGCTTTTCATGATTTCAGACAGGATTCTTGCCCTTCTTGTAGATGCCAGCTGGTTCTATTTTACATAAGGTAAAGGTAAAGGTTTCCCCAATATTAAGTCTACTTGTGTCCAACTCTGGGGGGCAGTGCTCATCTCCATTTCTAAGCCGAAGAGCCAGCATTGTCCGTAGATGATTCCAAGGTCATGTGGCCAACATGACTGCATGGAGCGCTGTTACCTTTTTGAACTGCTAGGTTGGTAGAAGCTGGGCCTAACAACAGGAGCTCACCCCGCTTTCCAGATGCAAACCGCCAATCTTTCGGCCAGCAAGTTCAGCATCTCAGCAGTTTAACTTTTCAAACTCTCTAACATTGTAGTTCTTTTCAAATGGACAAAGTGTCTCTTCCCTTCTAGTCTTGTCAGGATCATTTCAAATACACGATGAATTTATCCAGGGCTATAATGCTGTGGTGAATGGAGTGATAAATGCAAATGAGTGATAGACAATTCAATTTAAATTTCCCCTTCATCCATTCAGCTACTTAAATCAAAGAAGTCAAGTTGTTTTGATCCATAATTTCTGAGGAACAATGCATACTAAGAGATTGCTACAACAACTAAAACCTTGATTTGCAAGTAAAAAAGCCTTCGTGCAGCCTAGGAACATAATCCCAAACGCTTGCTCATATAGCCTATATGTGTAATGAGATGTTTCTAATCTCAGCATTCAGAGAGGAAGAAGTGGGAATGGGAAAGCCTCATGCTTGTTGTGGTAACATTAAATATGTTTCAGAGTGTTTACATTGCCAGGAGTGTCTCATTTACAATATTTCTGTAAATAAGAGAGTTGCCCTGCTTTGTTCTGTTGGTTTGAATCTTGGTAAGTGGGTCATTGAGTTTTATGTCAGTATGGGTTTATTTATTGAATGTTTTATATCCTGCCTGCCCTCTTTTTTTAATAAACAAACAAACCCTAACTTATCTAAGCAAATAGCCAAGTAGCCAGTAAAATCAATAAAAATAAGGATCCATGTAGAAAAGAACCTCAAAAGAAAACTAATAATGAAAATCATGTTAAACTTCATTGAATTATAGAATCATGGAGTTGGAAGAGATGTCGTGGGCCATCTAGTCCAACTCCCTGCCAAGAAACAAGAAAATGGCAAAGCCCCCCTTACAGATGGCCATCCAGTCTCTGCTTAAAAGCCTCCGAAGAAGGAGCCTCCACCACATGCTGACTCTAATGCAAAACACATTTAAAGAGATGTAGCAAAACTGACATCTTTCCCCATATCAAACAAAACAAAACCCTCAGACACTCACATTCTAATTTTTGAGGTATACAGCATGGATTTTGTCTACTACTAAACCAAATTATGCTGTTTTCTTGGTGGTAATGCTATGAATTAGTGTATCTTACAGTTATCAAGTATATTGTCTGGGAAAAACACACATTTTGTGTTTTTTAGTTTCTGAAGTATAAAGGGATATTTTGAGTTGGATTTCTTTCTTTCTTGGGTTTCAGGTCGCTGTGAGTCTTGGCACCCCAATCATGAAAGCAGAGTGGATCTATAAGTCTTGGGAGAAAAGAAATGATATGTATGTATGAATTTGTGTAGAGGATGTTTGTATTTTTGGTTCTTCCCCAGATCTGTCATGGCAGGGTAGTAAACATGGCCCTTACCCGCTAGTAAAATCTCATGCTATTGTGTTGAAACCTCTTCTCCCATTTCAGCGACTTCTGTGCTGCTGCTGAGGAATTCAGGAAGGAATTTAAAGTCCCCCCATTTCAGGACTGCAGGTTAAGTTTTCTTGGATTCTCTGATGATGAGAAGAAGAATATGGAAGAAATGACAGAAATGCAGGGTAAAAATGAACTCTATAGATGTTTTAATGCTTTAATTCCTTCATTCTTGTCCAAAAACTGCATCGGTGACATAGATACTTTTATATGTATGTTGTGGAGGCCCATTGCAGAAATAACAAAACTGATGGCACAGATCTGTTTTCTGAGCCTTTCAAAAGTAAGGCTTCTCCCTGATTTCCATGGCAGCTTTTCTAGTAATTTTATTATGTGTACAGGTTGAGTGTCCCTTATCCCCAAATGCTCCACAATTTATTTATTTATTGGGTTGCTGTGAGTTTTCCGGGCTGTATGGCCATGTTCCAGAAGCATTCACTCTCCTTATTTCTTTATTTACTTCATTTCTACCTCATCTTTCTCGACCCCAGAGGGGACTCAAGGTGACTTACAAATCCGCCAAAAATTTAAAGCACAGATAAACAATAAAATACATCTCATCGAAATATAAAACAATCTAAACATATAAACAATTAAAATACATATCAATCAATCAAACAGATTAAAACAATTTAAAATGGTGAATCATGATTTCATATCCATAATCATTTTCCAAAATCCATAGTCCATTATTCAAGCTGTTAAAGTCCACATGAGTGGCAGAAATAGTGACACCTTTGTTTTGAGATAGTGAATTGTCCACATGAGTGGCTGAGATAGCGACAAATTAGTTTTTTGATGGTTCAGTGTACACAAACATTTATGCACAAAGACTGGGTCTTATCACCAAGATATCTCATTACGCATATGCAAATGTTCAAGCCCCCCCCCCCTTCCCAAATCCAAAATACCTCTGATCGTCAGCATTTTGGATAAGGGATGCTCAACCTGTATTATTAAATATGTTAGAGCAATTGGTGATTTATTTAATGGACTGTCTACAAGCCATGGGATGTATCCATCAGTTTTCTTCTGCCTTTCATTTCACTCTAAAGTAGGTTTAATGACTGAGTGTTTGCCCCAAAGGACAGTTATTTGACAGATAATAGTCTTTAATCTTGATCTGCTGTTACGTTAGTTGTGCTGGTCTGTACTTTTTGTTTAACACTCTTGAATGTAAAACTGAGGAGTACTGGTATAGAAAGATGAAGTAATTTGGCCACATCATGAGAATACAGGAAAACTTGGAGAAGGTAATGATGCTGGGGAAAATGGAAGGAAAAAGGAAGAGGGGCAGACCAATGGCAAGATGGATGGATGGTATCCTTGAAATGACTGGCTTGACCTTGAAGGAGCTGGGGGTGGTGATGGCCAAAAGGGAGCTCTGGCGTGGGTTGGTTCATGAGATCACGAAGAATTGGAAGTGACTGAATGAATAAACAGCAAATAGAAAGTTAAAGATACCTGACAGAAACCAATGCTCTTTGTTTCAACTTTTCCCCGTACTTTGAATCCTACTTAGCATTGTTATTAGTACTTTAGAGTTCTTGAAGCACTGCACAGATCCTTATTAATGTTACAATTCTCTAGGAAAGGTCAACATTAATCCAAAATTACATTTACATAGGGCAAAATGCTACCACTAGAATAGGCAAGTAAAAAGTTCATGATTTTGCCATTTTGAGACTTTGTGTCTCACATTTGCTCAATATATATGAGCTTCTAGAGATGATTATTTTGTCTGCTATTCTCCTGAAACCTGTTTCTGCTGTTATCAAGCCTTAGGTCTGTGTTTTCCTGTCTAATGTCTTGAACGGACTCTGTTTAGCATTGTTTCCAATTATAAGAATTTCTCTGTTTTCGTTAACAGAATGCTGGAGAAAAGGTGTTTAAGTAGAAAATAATCCTACTATTTTCTTAACATTACTTCAGTGTTCTAAAATGAATGGTATAATTTGGAACAGATGAGTTATACCTGTCTTCTCACTGCAGGTGGACAACATTTGCCTGTTGGTGATGAAAAGTGCACTCATCTTATAGTTGAAGAAAACACAGTAAAAGACCTTCCATTTGAACCATCTCAAAACCTTTATGTTGTAAAGCAGGAGGTGAGTTTTAGCAAAACATCCTGGATACTTAAACTCTTGCCCTGATTTCTATAAGGTTTTTTAGTTCAGATTCATGTTTTTAATTGTTTGCTGTTATAGAATAGTTCTTGCTTGGGCTTGAATGAATGACTGGAAATGCTTTTTCTCCCTCTAGTGGTTTTGGGGAAGCATTCAGATGGATGCCAGAGCTGGAGAATCTATGTACTTATTTGAAAAGGTAAGCTGCTGCTGAAGGAAACTTGCAAATTGCAATCAGAATGATATTTTGAGTGTTGTGCCTTTTTTGTTGTATAATTGAGTTGGATCGCTTCTTTAACGTGTATTTTCTCAATGTAAAATAGCATCATTGTTTCGATATGCAAGCTTACAGTGAAACCAATCATTTTAGAAGTAACTCTATCATACAATTTTGCATAGTCCTTAGCTATAGAATATGAGTAAAGTTAGCAAACCGAATATTTGTATTCATACTCTACTTGTGGTATATTTTATCCTACTTAAATCCATATTATGTGATTACGTTTTTTATTATTATGATGTATTGTCGAAGGTTTTCATGGCCGGAATCACTGGGTTGCTATAAGTTGTTTGGGCTGTATTGCCATGTTCCAGAAGCATTCTTTCCTGACGTTTTGTCTGCATTTATGGCAAGCATCCTCAGAGGTTGTGAGGACCTCACAACCTTTTAGGGTGCCTGCCATAGATGCAGGCAAAACGTCAGGAGAGAATGCTTCTGGAACATGGCCATACAGCCCGAAAACCTAACAGCAACCCTATTATGATTATGTTTGTTAGGGTTGTTTAGTTTTAAGTTTTGGTTGATTTCTATTCAATAGTAAGTTTATCGTAATTGTTCTGTCCATGTGTATTGTTTTGATGTAATTTGTTGATGTCTTTTCCCTGGCATTGAATATTTGCCTTATGTGTTGGAAACCACTCTGAATTCCTTCAGGGAGATAGGGCAGTCTATAAATAAAGAATTATTATTATTAATATTATTATTATTTTCTTACAGCCAGACAGTTCCGAATTGAAAACATCGGTCTCGCAACTGTCTCTGAATACTCCAAATAGCAATCGCAAGAGGCGCCGCTTGAGGGAGACCCTTGCCCAGCTCACCAGGGAAACAGACATGTCCCCCTTCCCACCAAGGAAAAGGCCATCGGCTGAGCATTCTCTTTCTATAGGATCCTTACTTGACATTTCCAACACGCCTGAATCAAGTGTGACTCATGGAGGTACAGCCAAATCAGCTTTGTGTATCTTAACAAACATAGAGCAAAAATACCAGCAGTAACCCCCCACTATTGAATAATGTCGCTGTCATAAGTAATAGGTTTTTTTTTCTTTTCAAACAATGCAGGGAACAAGATAGAACTGAGAAACGTGCATAATGATAGACAGAAAGGCAGCTCTCATGTCCATAGACTTAGTCGGATGAGGAAGAAATTGCACCGATGTTCCAGTTGTATTTATCCGGATAATGTTATTCCTAAACATTGTATAGCATCTTTAGAAAGTCTTCAGCAATCCATCGAGGCAGCTAGTGATTATCTATCTGAAAGCCTAGTTAATGGAACAGATCAAATGACTCTTCAGAAATGCACTAATTTACCAGTGGAAAGCAAGGAAATCCCTGTAAGGCTCTGTTCCTTCCCAGGACATCATCCAGTTAGAGATGTACCAAGAATGTCACAAGGTGATGATCCTTAATGTTTTACATAGCAATGCCTTTTTATGTAATGCAAAACTTAGCTTGGAATGTAGTTCTTGTATCAAAGAGATCTGACTCATGAAAAAGATATTTGCCACAGGAAATGTAGGTACTATATTGATGAAAATGAACATATGTAAAGTTGTTTAAATGTTGGTGGCGAGAGGCAGGAAATGGGGGAGGAAGGATCAAGACTTTAAGGAGGAGTGCATTTCTCTCAGTGGGATACCTATTAATGGCATTAGTGGTTGGATCTGAACTGTAGCTTCATATATGCTATTTCTGTATTGAAAACAAATAAACATTAATTAGTTTTTATTATAGAATCCCTGTTCATAGCATTTCCAGTTTCTGGTAATTGCTCATTTTCCCCCCAATACAATGCAGAATGTTTATATTGAAATAATGATCATTTATCAGAAATTTTGGAAATGCTATGAATGGGGATTCTATAATAGAATCTAATTACAATACAGAATGTTTAGTCCCCTGGTGGAGCCCCCGGTGGCGCAGTGGGTTAAACCCCTGTGCTGGCAGGACTGAAGACTGACAGGTTGCAGGTTTAAATCCGGGGAGAGGCGGATGAGCTCCCTCTATCAACTCCAGCTCCTCATGCGGGGACATGAGAGAAGCCTCCCACAAGGATGATAAAAACATCAAATCATCTGGGCAACGTCCTTGCAGACGGCCAATTCTCTCACACCAGAAGCGACTTGCAGTTTCCGAGGTCGCTCCTGACACGACAAAAAAAAAGTCCCCCTAGTGGCGCAGCAGGTTAAAACACTGAGCTGATGAACTTGCTGGCCGAAAGGTTGGCAGTTCGAATCTGGGGAGTGGGGTGAGCTCCTGGTGTTAGGCCCAGCTTCTACCAACCCAGCAGTTTGAAAACATGCAAATGTGAGTAGATCAATAGGTACCGCTTCTGCAGGAAGGTAATGGAGCTCCATGCAGTCATGCCATCCACATGACTTTGGAGGCATCTATGGATCTTGGAGGCATCTATGGACAACACCGGCTCTACGGCTTAGAAATGGAGATGAGCACTAACCCCCAAAGTCGGACACGACTAGATTTAATGTCAGAGGAAACCTTTACTTTTACTTACAGAATGTTTGAAAATTCTCTGTACAATTTCAATTTTATATATGTTTGAAATTGCAAAGATAATTTTCTGACACCACGTTTAAAGTTTATTTCTCCAAAATATTCCAGTTATAATCCTTACTGTTATTAATGTGGCAGGGAGTGATTGCTGCCTGTAGTGTAGGAAGGGAATGGTAGAGCCAAAATATGCTTGTTGACACTGACACAAGTAATATGTTTTGAATATAGTTTCTTCATTGTTTACAGAAACTCCAAAGTCATCTGCAAAGCCTTCCAAAAACTCAACGCCTCTTCTACCAAAGCAGTCTGCAAGGTGGCAGGTTGCAAAGGAGCTGTATCAGACAGAAAGCAACTATGTAGATATCCTGACAACCATAATCCAGGTAACTTGGTAAAATTTATTTTTCTGTAACTGATAAACTACCCCTGCAGATGTGTATCACATCACTTTTTGAAATGATCTTTTAAGAAATGTACTACTTACATGCATGGTAAACATATTTGTACTATGCTATCTCCTGGAGATTGTTAGAGAAAGGGAGAAGTGAGTATAATTATATGGGATCAGTGGAATCCAGTGGTAATTTCCAATCATGGAAGGATCTTTTTATTCAGTGTTAGCTTCTGTTAATGGATGAAAAGTACAATTTTACCAATTATCTCTGGATAGCTGTCTAAACTGATTATATACTAACCTGATTATAGACCTTTAGAGAGTTCAAGGAGAATTGCTGAAGTGTCCTTCCCACCTTTAACACATGTGTATCTATTCTATCAAGTCACACCGTGTGTTGAATTGCTCTAGTATAGGGGTTCTCAAGCTTTTAAAACTGTGGACCCCTTTTTGAAGGAACAGTTTCTCATGGAAACTTTTCAACACAGGGGCCGCATTGCATTTAAAAAGTGGGCAGATGGGCCGGCCCAGTGGCAGATGGGTGGAGAAAGTTTGTGTGAACTAACTGAACAAAACATGAACAAATTCCTATGCACACTGCACATACCCTGATTGTAGTGCAAAAAGAAAGAACAATACAATATTTAAAATGAAGAACAATTTTACCCAACATAAACTTAACAGTCTTTCGGTGGAAGACCCCAGGGGCCATCCAGTCCAACCCCCTTTATTCTGCCATGCAGGAAAAGCACAATCAAAGCACTCCCAAAAAGATGGCCACCCAGTTCATCTCATTTAGGCCTGTGTGCTGGCCGCAGGTTTGTCCCCACGTGTGAGGGTGCAGTGGGGCGCTCCCCAGACTGCATGCTTTGGAAAGGCCCCACAGCTTGTGCAGGTGGCAGTGGGGCTCTCCAGGGTGCAAGTTTCACATGCAGGGAAAAGCAGGGGGCCCCGCAGGGCCATAACAGAGCCCTTAGGGCTCTGTGGAGCACAGTTTTTAGAATCACTGCTCTAGTGGAAGTCATTCAAAATGCAGCGATGATGGTCATGTGCTAGGGAACTGTAGCTGGTTATGGTTTCTTGGCACATGTCCACTAAATGTGTGTCCCCTGAAATAGGCTTTTAAAAGAGTATCTATTCTTTTCCTATCCAAATAGTTCCAATTTCTATTGCAGCATTAGATGCCTTCCACCTTTCACTCTGCCTCTTCTTTGCTTTTTAATTCTCAGATCTCATTTTCGCTGCTAGATACTCTCTACCTTGTATAGATTGCTGCTTTAAAAAGGAAGTGAAAGGTGGCATTTTTGTGTCCCAGAATGGTCTGTCAGAGAGAAAATGAAAGCAGAAAATGGGGAGCAAAGTTCTTGGAACAACTTTCCTTCCTTCTTAGTTTGGGAGGTAGGAAGGGAATAGGGAAGGGGTGTCTAAACTTTTTAAGCTTTTTAACTCTTTCAGTCTGTTGGGGGGGGACAGACTACCATTAAAAAAAACATGAATGCATTCCTATGTACACTGTATATGTCTTATTTGTGCAAAAAACCCCAAAATAAAACATGAAAAGACCATTACAATATATAAAACGAAGAATAATTTTAAGCAACATAAACATACTAGTCTTTCAGTGGGAAGTGTAGGCCTGCTTTTGACTGATGAGAGAGTCACGTTAATTAGGATTGTTGTTGTTGAGTGCCTTCAAGTCATTTTGGACAGCGGCCTCAGAGTCTAGTGGAGTCTCCTTCTCTGGAGGTTTTTCAGCAGAGGTGGCATGGCCATCTGTCAAGAGAGCTTTGATTGTGGCAGGGGTGTTTATAGTTGCTACCTGGTTCCCCGCTTTTCTTCTCAAGGGAGGAGCTCCAGCAAAGGGCAGCGTTTGTGGAAACTGCAGGGAAGCAATGCGGGGTTGAAGGCAGTGCAGATAAGGAAGGGCAGGAGAGAAGCCAGGCAGGCACTTGGCCTTCAGAGCCCGGCCTCCTGACCATGCAGCAACAGTAGCGAATGCCTGGGGCAAGCAGGGCAATTGGGGAGCCTTCCTTTGCAAAGAAATAAAGAAAAAGTTGCGGGGGAAGAGAGAGAGAGAGATAAGGGGCCACTGGAACAGGATGCTCAAGCTAGAGCCACCCAAGGAAAAGGCGATGCTTAATCGGGGTGGAGGGACGCAAGAGGCCACCATCTCTCTTTCCTCCCAAGGAGTCCATCTTTTTCTGGGCTCTGATCCCCAAGAAGGAAGGAAGAAATATAGGGAAGAAAACAAGAAAGGGAGGGTGGGAAGAAGGAAAGAAGCAAGGGAGGGAAACCTGAAGAGAAAGGGCTGGTGGAAATTTGAACAAGGGCTGTATTTGGACGCTAGGCCGGACTTTGGACGTGTCTGGTCTAGGATGTTAGGCATCATGTGACAGATTTGGCCCAGGAGACTCTAATTGATCGATATGCAAGAAATGCATCTTCTGCAGAAGGTGTGAATCTGTCCAAACTATCTCAGCCCAAATAAGAATATTTTATTATGTTTATTGTTATCTTTTTTTTCCAGGTCTTTCAAGTGCCTTTGGAACAGGAAGGACAGCTTGGTGGCCCCATCCTTGCATCAGAAGAAATCAAAACCATTTTTGGAAGCATTCCTGACATCCTTGATGTACACATCAAGATAAAGGTAATCTAATGAATCTCCTCTGCTACTTACCTCCCAAGTGATGGATTGGACCATACTGGGAAAAAATATTTAATTTTTTTATTCAAGTGGATTTTTTTTATTTTTTTCTTTGTGAAAGGTGCACATATGGGTTGGACCATACTGTGAAATACAATTTTTTTTATTCAAGTGGATTTTTTGATTTCTTCTTTGTGAATGGCGAACATATGGGTCTTCTCGCGCATGCGCAGACAGTTTTGGACTCAGTGGTTCTCAACCTGTGGGTCCCCAGGTGTTTTGGCCTACAACTCCCAGAAATCCCAGCCAGTTTACCAGCTGTTAGGATTTCTGGGACTTGAAGGCTAAAATATCTGGGGACCCACAGGTTGAAAACCCCTGCTCTAGATGTTAAAAATGGTAACATTTTGGCGGTATCCCGCCTACTTTCCGTTTGTCATAAATAGCCAGTGGAACGGGCTAACACAGTTCCTTAACTGCAGTTAAGGCCATGGATACCAAGGTATGATAACTGCGGGGAAGGTGGGCAGGGATGTGCAAATTTCACAGATGATTACTCGAAGAAACACTGTTACAGATAAGCAATCCATCCTTTGTGGTTTCTGTGAATAGCAAGCTACTAACCTGGAGGTGGGAATCATGCCCCACAGGAAAACAGGACTGCTCTGTCGATTTTGTAGTGAGACACAAAGGTCAGTGAGGTTTGGCCCTTGACCAAAGTGGGATGAATCCGGCCTGCCAGGCTGTAAGCCAGTCTGATGGTGGTGGTGATCCAGGTTGATAGCCACTGTGGAGAGAGTGGGAGTCCCAGGGTGCCATGACAGTAGTTAAAGGGAAAGCTTCATGGGTTTTCCTTCTATGTGCACTCATTCTTTGCACATAGAAGGTGAGGGCTCTAGGTAGTGCATAGGTACCTGTGCATAGGTAGTTTTCTGAATGCTACCATCTACACCCTCTAGAAATAGAAGGCATGATTCATAAATAAAATAATTTTGATGGTTATGCAGGTGTATTGTGAAAATTCTAGTGTTCTACAAATTATTTCTAAAATATTTATTTTGATAGCTGATGATTTTTTTTTAAAAAAAAATCCTGGTCTTATATTTGGAAGCTTAGCATTCTGTAACACACATTGATCTAGTATTTAGTACAGTATCTAGTAAGTGAACACCTTCAAATGCACTCTTATTAAGTTCAACACTAAAACTAATAGAGCTTATTTTTTATATGCCTTGCCTCTAAATGTGGCATCAGATGAAAAAGTCACCTAAGAGTAGCACATGGGCAGAATGTTAATTGAAAATTCCATTTTGGGGAACTGTAAACACTTGAAGAAAATGACCACTATTTCATATTTGTGTTACAGGAGGACCTTGAAGACCTTATGATAAATTGGACTGAAAGCAAAAGCATTGGCGATGTCATCCTGAAATATGTAATTTCTTTATACTAGATGTGAACTATTTTTAAATCAACATGTCTGTGGATTTTTTGTAATAGTAGACATCCCTGAGATGCTATCTATCTTTGGACCATTGTAGTGTTTGAAGGAGATGACTTACATGATTCATAATGTTCCTCCAGTTCATAAGCACTGTGAACTTCGCCCTCACTTGGACCTAAATTTATTAGTGWTGGGTTTATAAAATGGATACTTAGGCTACATGTTTCAMCATGGGAATGTCYGTAGAAAATGTYCAATGCTCTAATTCAGGGGTCCTCAAACTAAGGCCYGSGWGTYTGATAYGKCCCTCCAAGGTCATTTACCCRGCYCTYRCTCAGGGTCAACCTAAATCTGAAACTATTTGAAAGCACACAACAACAACAACAACAACARTCCTRTCTCATCAGCCAAAAGCAGGCTCACACTTCCCATTGAAATACTAATAAGTTTATATTTGATAAAATTGTTCTTCATTTTAATTATTGTATTGTTTTTAAGTGTTTTTTGCACCACAAATAAGATATATGCAGTGTGCATAGGAATTCATTCATATTTTTTTCACATTATTATCTGGCCCTCCAATGGTTTGAGGGACCATGACCTGTCCCTTTGTTTAAAAGGTTTGAGAACCCCCTGCTCTAATTGCTTGCATAGGGGCCACTCTAATATATGTCATTCTATAGTCTGAATAATTGGCTTTTTTTTTGTTAGCTTCTATTATATACGTGAATGCAGGAGCAATGTAAACTGGCAGCTCAGTTTTTAAGCCTTTGGTGATCATCTGATTAACCAAAGCTTCTTTGTGGAATATAACAGGATTGCTTTCCTAAGCAAATTAATTTAAGCTTCAAATGTTAAAAAGGTCCTTTGTACTGGAGAGGACATTAGGAAGAACACCCAAGTGTATTTGAATCTTTGTATGAAAACTTTAAGTATAGTTTTCTCTGTGGGATACCCAGTCCCTCTGTATCTCAGTGACTCACAGCAACATATGGGATTGACCACAATCCTTACTAACACCGGTGTGGCACAACATGACCAAAACATTAGCAGTTGTGATACAATCTTTTGACCAATTTGGGCCATTGCGGTTGGATCCAAGACCCCTCATGGATACCAGAGTCTGTGGATACCCAAGTCCCATTATATATAACAGTGGAAGAAAATAGTGTCCCCGTGAAGTAAAAAACACCGCTGTGAGTCGCCCCTGGGCTGAGAACAGTGGTATATAAGCAAAGCAAATAAATAAATAAAATGGTAAAAATCAACCTTTGCTTTTGGGGTTTCTTTAAAATTCAGGTGGTGGATTGTTGAATCCGCAAATTCAAAATCTATGGATTTGGACGGCCATATATGCCTTCATTTTCTTTAGGGTATATTTAAGGCTGTTTGCTGAGAAGCACCAATAGTTACAGCTGCTCTGAAGCCCCTGTTTTCTTAATGGTATCTTTTTGCACTGTGTTGTAAATGAACATTCTTCATTCTTTCAGTCAAGAGACTTGCTGAAAACGTACCCTCCATTTGTGAACTTCTTTGAAATGAGCAAGGAAACCATTACCAAGTGTGAAAAACAGAAGCCAAGGTTTCACGCTTTCCTGAAGGTAATGGTTTTCTATTTGTTTCATTCTCTCTGACCTCTAATGTAGAGGGCCATCTCCACTTTACTGTAGAGATGGAGACAAACAATCACAATGTTGAGCACAGAAGAAATAAGTATATTAAAACAAAATCTTGCCTTCTTGTTCTGTAATGAAAACATGTAGAAGAGATCTGGGCAAAAATTCTAACTGGAGAAGGCCCATTGAGTCAGTGGCCCTTTTATAAATACTGACTCAACTAGTTTTCATTGTTTCAACTCTCATAAGATTAAAATTAGGACTAAATTTTAAAACCTGTATCTATTATGGTGGCGCAGTGGGTTAAACCGCTGAGCTGCTAAACTTGTTGACCGAAAGGTCGCAGGTTCAAATCCGGGGAGCGACGTGAAATCAGCACTTTGAATTGTGTTCGGAAGCTGATCGGTAGCCAGTGGAGTTGGCGTAAGAAAGGAGTTGTATGTTTCCTGTATGTCGCTCCAGTGAGCAACCTGGCTGCCGACCGTTGGACTAGTTGAAGCTTCTGGGCAGTCTTCAAAGGCAGCCCCACGTAAAGTGCATTGCAGTAGTCTATTCGGGATATAACAAGAATGTTCAGAGTGAGATTCCATTTTATAATGCTTTTCAATCAGAAGTCAGTTAAGTCAGAGGTCGTTTGAGTCTTGAGTCAGTTGGAAGTTAGAAGTCAGTGAAGTCTATTGATGTCAGAGCAGGAGTATAGTCAGTATGCTGCAGTGAGATGTTAGTTAATATATGATTCTGTTTGCAGCAGATGTATATTACAGTCAGCAGATGTATAGTACAGTATAGTACAGAAGTTGATATATTCGTGAGTTAACATGAAAGTAATGTACCTGTATGTTAAATACATGACGTTTGTAAGTAATTCAACTATGTTCACTTTTAACAAATGCTACTTTATTTTTGGTCTCTTGAGAGCATGATTCCAAAACAATATATTTTATGGGAGAGTAGATGATATATTTTTGGGCAACTGAAATAACACTTCTGAAGGTCTGCTATATATTTTATGCATTGGCATATCTTTGTTCCTAACAGTTCAGAGAGATAATCAGTTATATCAGTCTAACAGCTGAGAAGCCTGATTTGCATTGTATGAATACTAGTGAATATTATTTACCACTAAGGAGAAGGTTGACCCAAGTGGGTTTTTAACTTCTTCTCAGGAAGATCATACTTTATAAAAAGGTTACAATCTCTAACAAGATCATGACTTTCCAATAGGTTATGATTATTCCAAATTGCTTGAATTCCAATTAATCTCCAAAAGGGTCACGCTTCCAAAAAACATGTGGAGATTCCTGGTTTCCCCGATATTGAGAATCGTTTATTTGAAATTCAGGATATCCCAAAAGTGGGCAGTGGGTGGATGAGTCTTTTTTCATTTTCTCTTTTCAAAATATTAAAAGAGCATTTAAGGAGATATGGCAGAAGCTATGGTGCTGATATGAGTAAACTGCCTGCTGGGGGAAGGAAAAAGGAAGTAGTAATGTTGCAATTGTGCTAAATGCTTTCAAGATATTGATTTAGCCAGTTCTGAATATAAACATCTAATAGCATTCACAAGCAAGCAATTAACAGCTTATTAACATGTCAGTGGTGTGGGCTTTTAAAACCTGATTTAATTACCTGTCAACATGTGGAATGGAGACTGAGGAAGTAAAGAAAATTAAGAATGTATCCCTTAGGAATGGCAAGGATTGAAATTATAAAAGCTATATTTCTTTGTCACAAATAATGCCATACATTTGCTTGCAACAGATAAATCAAGCTAAACCAGAGTGCGGCCGCCAGAGTTTGGCAGAGCTCCTCATCCGTCCTGTTCAGAGGCTTCCTAGCGTTGCTCTTCTTTTAAACGGTAATTGTATAGGATTGTTTATTGGACTTTGTTAGTGTTTGAGATCAAATGAGTTTGAGATCTCACTCTGCTTTCATTTTGGAGCCAAACTTTCTGTAATAACTTCCATGTATTTAGTATGCATTTGACCAAGTTCTGATACAGATGGTGAGTGCTTGAACATTGGTGTTTTTTTTTTTGTTGGCAAATAACAACTAGTCTGTTTAAAGCTTGAAACAAATTTAAGGGTATCTTTAAGGAGCCCTCGGTGGTGCAACGGCTTAAACTGCTGAGCTCCTGAACTTGCTGACAGAAAGGTTGGTGGTTCAAATCAGGGGAGTGGGTGGACTCCCGCTATTTGCCCCAGTTTCTGCCAACCTAACAGTTTGAAAACATGCAAATGTGAGTAGATCAATAGGTACCGCTTTGACAGGAAAGTAACGGCGCTCCATGCAGTCTTGCTGGCCACATGACCTTGGAGGTGTCTGTGGACAATGCTGGCTCTTCGGTGTAGAAATGGAGATGAACACCACACCCCAGAGTCGGACATGACTGGACTTAATGTCAGATAGAATGCAGATAGAAGCCTGATAGAATGCAGTAGAACAGTCATTTTGAAAAGCATTCATGTTCCATGTTTATAATAATATGTGCAGTATGGTAGATTATTATTATAGCCAGGAGCCTCCAGTGGCGCAGTGGGTTAAACCCCTGTGCCGGCAGGACTGAAGACCGACAGGTCGCAGGTTCGAATCCACGGAGAGGCGGATGAGCTCCCTCTATCAGCTCCAGCTCCTCATGTGGGGACATGAGAGAAGCCTCCCACAAGGATGATAAAAAAGAAAAACATCAAAAATCATCCGGGCGTCCCCTGGGCAACGTCCTTGCAGACGGCCAATTCTCTCACACCAGAAGCGACTTGCAGTTTCTCAAGTTGCTCCTGACACGACCAAAAATAAATAAATATCATAGCCCTTAATGATCTGAGATATAATTTTATAGTCATTGCATAGAGTCCCCCTCCTCCATCAGTCTATATTTAAATCAAAAAGTCCCATTGCTCAGTGGGAAAAAAGATGGAAAGACTTTGCTCCTGTTTCTGCTTTTCTTCTCTAGCCTGCCATTTCTGTGCCACCCCTAGTCTTTGAGTACTTATTTGAATTTGAATGAGTAAAACTGCTATTGGGGTATTTGGCATTTAAATTTGGGCTACCAAAACAGGTTTTAGAATATGCTTGAAAGATGCAGAGTTTTGCAGATCTTCAAATATCTACGTAGGTTTTGAATTATTTTGGAAGTGATGGAAGCCATGCTTGTGCACTTGTAAAAATCAGCAGTGACATCCAAATTTCTCCTCACTACCATGAAAGATGGGGGCAACTTTAAAAGATTATGGATGAGCTTATTGGGTTTTTTTTTCACTTGACATATCTTGCATTTAAAAGCAACATGGCAGTAATCAGTCACACATTTTTTTCTTCTATATATACAGCCTTTTCAACAGCCTCTCCTACAGTAATATGTCCAACGTTGCTGTAGCATTATAAAAAACAATACCAATTTGATATTTTCTTGTTGTAGACCTCAGGAAACATACTGCAGAAGACAATCCTGACAAGGCGACTCTTGAGAAAGCCATTGAGTCACTAAAGGAAGTGATGACGTAAGTGGTCGTCATCAATGCAGCCTAGAAAAATATACTCATATCATTAGGGAATATTGTATATTGTCTGTAGAGCATGCATGTATTCCTTATATAATTTTTCTTGTGTTATATTTCCAATTTGTGTTTGTAAGTAGTACTTTAGATCCTTTAGAATAGCTTGCATGGGACTGTTTTTGTGCTGAAGTAACTAAATGTGGAGCTGAGCTGCTGCTCCATCCAAAAAATTGGACTGTGATTACAACAGGCCCCGAGCGTTTTATTCTCCTGGAAAACCTGCACTCCTTACCTCTACACGGCTGTCCTTTCGATAATACATTTTGTAATGAGAGATTATTTGCTTCGTAGACAGGTACTCATTACTGTTGAGAATCTTGTAGCAAGGAACAAATAAAGACTTCTTATTTGTGTAAGAGAAGTAGCTCTCTTCCTTAAGGCTGCAGGATAGGTTTTGAACCTTTTTCTTTTCTCACTCAAGCCAAGAAAAGCTCAGGTGAATATGACGAGCTTTGGAATAACATATTGGACAAAACCATCCATGTGGGTTACTTTTTAGACCTTAGCTAGCACAAGACTTTAGCAAGAGGGAAGACAGAGGTCTGCTGGGAGACCCATGAGAGATATGCATAGATAAGAATGTCTGATTTGAGATTGTTCATTGGTAACCTCTTCTGTCCAATCCATGCTGAAATGAAGAGGCTTTGGTTACCGCCAGGCTGACTTCATTTCAGTTTTTGAATTGGGAATGATGTTTGAGTTCTCAGTATGTATTTTTTTTTCAAATTGCACCTGGATATGGATTACAGATCGTGGGGTTCTAATTTAAAACAAAGTAGATCCTACAAGATTGAAGTTGGCCTCCCCCTAATTTAAAGTATATAGAAGGATAGTGAGAAGTTGAACACTACATACTTGCTAGACAGAAAATCGGTGCTACTATAGGGTTTATGGCTTATTATTTTGATATTCAACACCCAAGGTTGAAATATCTAGTTTCAGGATGGTAAATGAAAGCTCTTTGGGGAAGATAACCCAAAGTAAGTTTGACAACATATTATGAGAGTTGCAGAGTTTGGCCACACTTTCCAGACATTCTGGAAATTGTAGTCCATAAATTGTAGTCCATAAATGTTCCTTTTCCAAGTTGTGAAAAATAGTTGATGGGAAATGGAGAACAAATATGGCAAACTGATTAGAACAGTGGTTCCCAACCTGTGGTCCATGGATCACCAGTGGTCCACAAGAACTAAAATATGGTCTGCGGCCTTCTTATAGCGGACCATATTTTATACTACTTTAATTTGGTTTACTGTGAGTGAGCTGATGATGTCTACCGGATGGCATATGTTCTGTATCAGAAACTAGAGCTGATGTGGTCGATCTAATGCAATTTTCTGAATCAGCACTCCAAATAACCACACCGAATCTAAAGTTGACCACAAACTGATTCGTAACACTTTTAGTGCTAAGGTTGGAGAGTGGTTCCTGGTCAAAGTGGTCCCTGGTCAAAAAAAGGTTGGGAACCACTGGATTAGAATTTTTGATTGGGCGAAGAGAAGTGAATTATAGTGTTTATCTTGGACCCATCACAATCTCCAGGCCTAACCTATTTTGCAGGTTTTATAAACATACAAATGTGGTGTGAAGGGGCCAAACATGTCATGCTGTACCACTAGGGAAAAGGTTGCATTAAAGCTAAATAAGTAATCGCAGTCGTCTAGATTTAGGGCATATGATTTACTGAGGGGTTAATTCACAAGTGAAAACTTTGTGAAAATAACATGCATGTTCACATGAATCATGCCACTTTCCTTAACTGAACAAAAGCTAACGTCACGTAACTTAAGTGGTAGATTTGATCCTCGCTTAATCTGAAATCCAAAAATCTGAATTTACTTTTTGAGCTGCATCTCAACCCAGGGATTGTAATCTTTTCCGTATTTGCTTTTCCCCTCCAGGCATATTAATGAAGATAAAAGGAAAACCGAAGCACAGAGGCAGATTTTTGATGTTGTTTATGAAGTAGATGGTTGTCCAGTAAGTAATGGTGCTTTAACTGTTTGGAATAGTCTTTTTGCTATAGATAATAAATTGTAGTATGACTCTTAAGTTTCAGTTTTTGGGGAACACAAAGAAGGAGATGATGCCGTATTCATGTGCCACTTGTGCATTTTCTTATAGGTATCGGATAGCTATTGCAGGGATGGAATATTAGACCTTTGGTCTGATTCTGCATGCTATGTTTAGATGAGCACTTGGTAGGAAAAGAAGTGGGAAAGATGAAACATGGTTAGAATTTGGCTTTTTCTCCTCTCCCTGTCTCCTTTTTCCTAAAATCAGATGTATTTGCGAGAACATAATGTTGGTCTTTCTGATCCTGAGGTGATTCCTGATTTGGAACTGTTGAAATGCTTGAAGGAGAGGACATTACTTTTATAGTTTTCTTTTATTCTTTTTATTTTCATATGTGACTTTTTTGAAAAAAAAAAGTAGATTTTTGGAGGGAAACTACTAGCATGTATTACCTGTGCTGATATGGGCTTCTATCCAGTTTTCATAATGCTATAAATTAACTATACAGCAACTATATATTCACATGTGTGTGTTTGTGTGCATGTACATAGACACACATGTTTTTGTGTTAGGAAATCTTTAAAGCTAAAAGAACAGTATGCTACTATTTCTGGCTGATGTGGCAAGCCTTTGAATTATGATTATTATTTTTTAATGAGCTTCTGTTTCCCAAAGGCCAACCTCTTGTCATCTCACCGAAGTCTAATTCAGCGGCTGGAAACGGTGGCACTTGGTGATGACCTCTGTGACAGAGGGGAGCAGGTCACGCTGTTCCTTTTTAACGACTGCCTGGAGGTAAGTCTGTAGATATTCATTTGGCGGTGACATTCTGGAACGGACTTCCAACCCAGAGGAATAAATAGCAGCCCAAATACCTGGAGTCTGTGAAGGACAACTCGAACACTTTTTTTCTTGTCTTGACAGAAAGCATTCTACTATATGTAGCACTCGCTCAGCTGGTAAGAACCGCTGTGCAAATTGTCACAAGGAGCACTTTATTTCTACAGACTTAATGATTTTGTAGCTCAATACTGTCGGAATTAGGAAGACAGACAGAACAACTTTCTACTGCTATGTCTTGCTACTGGCAGTAAAAAGATTTGTTGAGGAGTGAAAGCTGATGGGAAGGGAGCGTTGTTATTGAAGCAGTGAGAGAGACCTTTCAGCAATTTTGTGTGAAATCTTGGGGAAATAAAGTATATAATGCATTAAATGAGTTACTACCAAAGCTGTGTGTTTACAGAACAGAGAGAAAAGCAGAAATTCTGTGATAGGGGGTTGAGTTCTGCAACTTACAATAGATTGTGCAAATTGAACAAATGGGTGTGCCRTTTTGGGCCAGGGGTCCAATATCTATGCCCAGGAAATTCTTCAGCTGTATCTTTTGGTTTTTGAAATTTTAATTGGTGCGCAGGAGCAGGGGAGCCTAGGGATGATTATTGTTGCTATCAATTTGAAAGGAACCAAATTTACCATCAAGTTAGAAGGGAGGCTGTTCAATCGCACCTCTTCCTTTATTAAGATAGTAATAACTTAGTAGTAATTAWRCKGTATGTATTKTAGCGTRACTGGAGATAAGARTRTAKATCTATTTGGTCACTTTCCMCTSCGTTTCTGBCACCACGTGAGGTAAGTTATAATATTGTGWGAAATGGCACACTGGAYGCAGAATTGATGGAGRTGAGGCAGTCTTCAAACAAAAGTTAACAAGTTTATTGAGCACAAAGCGTGTGGTTGCAAGTTGTAACTTTTCTTATAGAACTCAGAATAATGCTTGGTTAGTTGAGTGTTCTTTCAGGTTATACAGTATCTTCCTGAGGTGAAGCACTTATTACAAAACAAAGTTCCAATACAGGGATGTCTCCCTTATCTGATCCTCCCCTGATCAGATACTTAATAAGCTTATTCTTTAGCCTTTCTTTAGACTAACGTAATACTGGTTATGTTTCCCTTATCAGCCTCTCTAGCCTAAGAAACTTCCAGTAACTTAATCTGGCTTTCCAAAGCCTCGAAACTTTGCTTTACAATTCACTCTCTTTCAGCTACAACCTCCTAATCTTTCTTCTATCAATTCCTCACCCTCAAATCATAACTTCTGACTGCTCACTCCTCTAAACCTAAACCCTAACTCATGACTGTTTACTCCTCTAAACCTAAACCATAACTCATGACTGTTTACTCCTCTAAACCTAAACCCTAACTCCTGACTGCTCACTCCTCTAAACCTAAACCCTAACTCCTGACTGCTCACTCCTCTAAACCTAAACCCTAACTGAAAAATAACTGTCGTTTTTCAAACTCTCCCCTCTAAGCTCCTCCCACTTCTCTCTCTAGCCTACATCGTCTCCATGGCAACACACTCCTCTCAGTTAGGCTGCTCCAGCATTAGTGCAGCCAATCTAAACACAAATACAGTTAAAATCATACAATTTATAATCAACTTCTGTACAATTGGGTTTTAGCTCCCCCCCCAAAAAAGTTGGGTTTTAGCTCCCCTGGAGCCCCCGGTGGCACAGTGGGTTAAAGCACTGAGCTGCTGAGCTTGTTGATCGAAAGGTTGCAGGTTCGATTCCGGGGAGCGGCGTGAGCTTCCGCTGTCAGTCCTAGCTTCTGCCAACCTAGCAGTTCAAAAACATGCAAATGTGAGTAGATCAATAGGTACCGCTCCGGCGGGAAGGTAACGGCGCTCCGTGCAGTCATGCCGGCCATATGACCTTGGAGGTGTCTACGGATAATGCTGGCTCTTCGGCTTAGAAATGGAGATGAGCACCACACCCCAGAGTCAGACATGACTGGACTTAATGTCAGGGGACTACCTTTACCTTTAGCTCCCAAGGGCTAGCAAGGTATTTTTGTGGCCTGTAAGCTATCAGTTGCTTGCTGAGATGCTCAATACATTTAACTGATGGACTAGGCTTCTCTCTACAAGAATGTACGCTGAATACAACTTTTTTACTTTCTGTGGTTCCACAAGACCCTATTGTTTTTGCTGCAACGGGATTCCAACTGATAATATGCTCTCCTTTCTATTTAAATATAAACTAATTGGAAGCCCAGTTCTGTCTCTGTTGTTATTTTTTGCTCCTGAAAATAACAGCAAGACCCACAGTCCTGTCTGTGACCCAATCTGCATAATTGTTGTCAATGCATAGTTAATAATTGCAGTGCAATGTGGTTATGAAAAAATATATATTTATCTATTCCAGATGATACTTGTCTAGTGCTCTGCAGAATGAATCTGTTTCCTTAGTTAATGCAGAGTTGTCTAAAATAGGTTTATTATATGTCAATTCTACTGGGCTACTTGGAGTGTACTGCTGTGCTGGATTTACAAAGTCTTCTCATAGTTTACTGAGTGCATTGAGGTTTTACTCTGGTTCAACATGCATAAGATTGCAACCTGTCAGTCAGGAAGCCTATAATTGGCTAGGAGGAACAAATCCATTGTCCTGATTCTTTAGTCAAGTGCCTTAATTACATGGGTTTCACTTTACCTCAGAATTCTGGTTAAACCGATTTCCTAACTCAGTAGTTAAGTACAGAAGAGAACTGCTTCAATCTTCTGAACTGTCTCCAGTCTTCCTGTTGTCTTTTACTGTCTTCCTGTCCCCAATGTCCACTTGATGCAGAACAAGCAAGAGAGGGTAGTTGATTGTTTTTTTGCATCTTGGGAATGGATGCTTCTTGGTTGCACACATGTAACTCATCAGAATTAGTTGGTCTCTTGGTGCTACTTAGAGTCCTGGCACTGTTTCAGGTTGTCAAGACAGTGGCTCAGCAGCCCACAAATTGTCATGGGGCTTGTTTGTAATTTAATGTGAATAAATAACTGGTCTGTGTCAGGTAAGTCTGTTTGGCCTCTGCTTAGGCTATACAAAATGTGCACATAAAGTGTCCACACAAGCAGTATAACCAGTAATTGCTGTTGGAAAGATACTGAGTTAGGGGAAAACAAACCAATTAAATTTCAGAGGTCTAAGTGTAGCATGGGAGAAGCCATAAAGCACACGTTCATTGTAGCTTGCTCCAGTGTATGATGAGGGACGCAGAACTTTTGAAGTAAATGTGCCCTGAATGGCCATGAGTTAATTTGAAGGTGGGCTCTGATGAGTACTTAAACCAGGTGGTCAAGTGAGATTTAACTGCCAGGATTAGAGAAGAATTGTCTATAATGGAATGACAGCTTGTGGCATCCACCTTCCTTGAAATCTGCTCCCCCTGTTCCTGTCTGTATCCTTCTTTTAAAATATTTATATCTTCCTGTCTTGTAAAATGGAGGTGCAAGGAGATTGAAATCCTTTGAAAAATGATTGAGATAAAAATCAAAAGATAAAAACAGCATTAAAGGACCAACAAGTGGTGGCACAGTGGGTTAAATTGCTGAGCTGCTGAACTTGCTGACTGGAAGGTCAGCAGTTCAGATCTGTGGAGTGGGGTGAGCTCCTGCTGTTAGCCCCAGCTTCTGCCAACCTAACAGTTTGAAAACATTCAAGTCTGAGTAGATCAATAGATACCGCTTTGGTGAGAAGGTAAGAGCACTCCATGCAGTCATATCAGCCACATGACCTTGGAAGTGTCTACGGACAACGCTGACTCTTCAGCTTAGAAATGGAGATAAGCACCATCCGCCAAAGTCGGACTCGACTAGACTTGATGTCAAGTGGAAACTGTTACTTTACTTTCAAGCTAATAACAAGATTAGTAGAATATCTAACAGAAATGTGTGTTTAAATAGCTTTGTCCTTGTATTTAAATACGGTAATTTTGCTCCATTCCTCAGACCAAAAAAGTCCCTTTGGGGAGAGAGTGTTGAATATAAAAAAGAGAGAGAGAGTGTGTGTGTATATAATTAGAAAAAAAGCACCTAGAGCAGTGGTTCGCAACCTGTGGATCCCCAGATGTTTTGGCATTCAACTCCCAGAAATCCTAACAGCTGGTAAACTGTCTGGGATTTCTGGGAGTTGTAGGCCAAAACACCTGGGGTAGAGAAGCACTGCCCTAGAGTGTATTTACAGGTAACCACCCAGTCTTAAGCTTTGACACAATAGAAAAAGAGATAGAGTAGGCAGAATTAAAAATAGAATGAAATTCAGTTTTTAAAGTTGCAGAATTCTTACGTTAGCTGCAATGAAAAATGGTTTAAGACGAGCAAAAGCTGGAAGGAGTTCATGAATGGTTCCGGTCCTCTTGGAATGACTGGTGACTGACAATTCAGGGTTTTTACAACTCTCAGTTGTACACAGTGAGGATGTTTTGCGGCTCTCCCAGGCCAGGGGAGGCTCACAGCCTTGGTGCTAACACCAGACAACTCTTATCACTGTTAAGAGTAAAGTATTCAAACTATGTTACAGGTGCTAAATTGGAACCTCCATTTCCTCCCAAGACCAATGTATGGAGAAGGCTCTGATCCTTGGAGGCTATTCAACTTTTCAAGAATTAATGACTTTCAGAATAAGTGTACTTTGAAATTCATCAAGAGCTGGTAAAGCCTGTAATATTGGAATTACGTGTTCAGAAAAAAATAATTTTGTAACTGGTGGATGTTTTGGGCACTCCTGAGATAGAACCATATTTAGAGGCTGCTGAAGTAATTTAATCTAGCTGTTATAGTATGTATAAATACAGTTAGAAGTGGTGCTTGAAAATCTGTAGGCAATGGCAAAAGGGACCAAAAGTCAGGCATCTAGTGGACGTTTAGGTCTTCTTTCTACCTTGAAGAGAGAGATTATTTATGAAAATAAGATAAGCTACCTGTAGAGTTTATTATAGCTTCTAAGTGGCTGCCCATGTGACTTCTTTGCCAATGAAACTAAATAGACCACCTTGTTTTCCTTCTGTTGACATTTATTCTGATAGGCTTCTGTGAACTGAAGCTGTATAAAAAATAAAAAGCTTTTAAGAATATGCTGTACTGCTTTAACTGATAGTTTTTTCAAAATGGTTTTTCATAGCTTGATCATACGTTGAAGTATTCAGCATTTCTATTCTATTTCTGTTCTAATACTGATTCTCTATGTTCTTAAATATAATCATTTTAATTTTTAAGCTACCTTCATTCCCAGTTTTGGGAAAATAGCGAGGTGTAAATAAGACCACTGGTCACAATAAAAACAACTGCAGCAATATCATTAAAATCTTGGCAAAACTGTTTACAGTGCACCAGGATGAAATAAACCCCACTGATGCTAAATGCACCCCAAGGTCTTTCTGACCCCCACACCCCAATTTTGTGGAAACACGTGTAACATGGTAAATGACCTCTAGAAGATGGGTGTCAACGGACCAGACTGTTTTAGGCCCAAAAGAAAGGTTTTTGAAAAGAGGAAATAAATAAAAAGTCAATTTCGAACTCATTTTGTTGAAAGCCTCTACTGCAGTGGTTCTCAACCTGTGGGGCCCCAGGTGTTTTGGCCTACAACTCCCAGAAATCCCAGCCAGTTTACCAGCTGTTAGGATTTCTGAGAGTTGAAGGCCAAAACATCTGGGGACCCACAGGTTGAGAACCACTGCTCTATTGGGTCTAAAACAACTGGGAAGGAGGAAAGTAATTAAATTCTCCCTACACTACCATAGGGGTGGGAATATGATTGCCAGACTGAAAACTGGAGGAAAACCTTGACTTTTAATCGTTGTGTAAAAGGAAATTTCAGCAGGTGTTGCTTGCCACAGAACCAGATGATAAGCTGTACCTGCTGAAAATCTTGCTTCTACACAACCATTAAAGCTACAGGAGTCATATCCAATTTTCACTTGAGCAACCCTAGATGGGATGAGTATATTTAGTGATTAAAAAATAAATAAAAGGAAATCTAGAAGGGTTAGAGCATAGTGATTGGGTGTAGACTTCTAAGGTCCCACAGGAAGCCAAGAATAGCTCCAAGTCTTGACAATATAGCCCTACACTGTATCAGAAACATTAAAATATTAAACAGTTTTTAATAAGCTAGCTGGCATTACTCCCACCCCCAACCCTGACGTGTGACAGGAAGTTGCTGCTAACTGTGAGAGAAATACGGTTGAAAACTATGAAAGCCATCCACTGCATGGCTATCAGCCTCCTCCCAGTAGACTCAAATCAAGGAAAAGCTTCATGAGAATAGCCACTCCTCTTAATGTTCCCCCAACAGCAAGAGCATCTCTCTGGGCAGCTAAACCAGGATATCCCAACTGGATAGTTCCCCACAAGGGTCTGACTCCAGGGGCAAACCAAGAATGGTCAACTTGGAAGTCCCTGAACAGACTCAGAAGACAACTTGGCAAAACAGAACTACCTAAAAGAATCCTCCGCCTTGTGTGACTGAAGCAGAACAAACAACTCTGCACCTGTATGCTTGTCCACAATGCCCTGCCTCATGCACAGAAGAACTGTTTAAAGCTACAAACAATGCAGTCGCTGTTGCCTGATTTTGGTCAAAAATGATTTAGCCACTTGTGCTTCTTCTGTTTTTTATCAGTTTTATATTTATGTATGCATTGCTTTTGATGCGAAATAAAGATAAGTAATGTAACACCAGAAAATTATTAAGCCAATTTATTTACTTTTTAATACAGCATATACTTTTATCTTTTAATGAGTAAATGCTGCTGTGATGAATTCCCTACCTGTTAGGCTGGGAAAAGCTCAGAAAAGTAGGCCCAGGAAGTTCAGGAGCCATTTTAGAAGGGTTCCTGGGGGCATCCATCTTAGAATCTCATTTCTTGGAGGGGGCATGCTTAGGAGCAGCTTGGAGGGAAATGAGGGGGTTTTGTGATTGGCTGGGAGAGAGTAGGCGGAACTTAACTTGAGAAAAAAAATGACTTTAAGGGTGTGTTTTAAAACCTGACAGCTCAGTTTGGGTTTGTGTGTCAAAGAAGAAGGAGTTAGGGTTTGGTGTGAAGAAGAGAAGAGTTAGTGAAGCCAGAAGTTGGTCAGTTAGCCAGCAGAGTTAGTTAGTGAGAAGATTATAGCTATTGGGAAAGATAGCTGGAGGAGTGGAGAGACAGATCCAAAAAGGAAAGGACTGTCTGTGTGGAGTTTAGGATTACTAGGCAGAAGGGAATCCTGCCAGTAGTTGCTGGAGGGAGAAAGGAGTGCTATTTGCAACTAAGTTTTGAACTGTTTAAAGGAGCCATACATTTTATTCAAAATTGAAACCGCTAAGCTTAAAGTCTGTATTGTTCAAGTTCTCTCAAATAAACAACACTGTTATTTGTTCACAACATCTGCCTCACGTGTGCCTCTGTGTGAGACATCTCCATGCAGTTTACTGAAGAAATCAAAGTAAAAATGGTGGCAGCGTTTATTTAAATAGGAATCTCTTCATTGTTACCTCAGAGTACCAAACCTGAGTGTGAATCCAGTACATTCTAGCCTAAAGATACTTCAAGTCAAGCCAAGGGCTTAACATTTCTTTTAAGGGTGGTGGTAGCCAGTGTTCTTTTGAAAGGTTTTTCGGCCAGAAGATTGTTCCAGCTTATCCAGCTTTTGATTTTTACTTAAATAGGCCACATTCCATTACAAATGGTGTACAGTGGTTTGGAATTTTGGTTAATAAACTTTTATAAGTGGTGTCAGCTTAGGGGATTATTTATTAGCAAATCCCACATCTTGTACAATTGGTGACAGCAAGTGGGATTCTGGTTACCTATGTTTTACAGCTGCCTTTCATTTGGCTGTTCAGATTGCTGTATTTGAGTTGATGTTTAGAGTTAGGAGAAGGAATCTAAATTGTTCCTCTGCCATTTTGGCTGTGGTCAAAGTCAGACCAGTGTATAATAATAGATTTTTGAATTTGGCACAACATTCATATAAAGCTGAGATCCTCAAAATATTGTCTTTAGAGACATATATATGCTTGTTTACAAGATCTATCAGAACAGATGGGACTTGATCCAAAATGTACCTACCTGTGGAGGAAGTGATGATTCTTAATTGGACATGCCTAGTGCAGTGCCTTGCCACTAACCATATGCAGTCCTGGAACACTTTACCGAAAAGAGGAAAGACGTGCACTAGAATTCAGCATGTAGTGTTCAAAGAAACATAAAAACTGTAATTTTTTCTCATAATAGATCTGAAACTTGGCATTTGAAACAGAAACATAAATCCATATGCTAGAATTGCTTAAGATTACTGAAACAGAACTTGTCATTGAAAGTTGGAATGCTGGAACTCATTTTCCTTTTTTTCTTTCTTTTGAAAAACAGATTGCAAGGAAACGACACAAAGTCATTGGTGGTTTCAAGAGCCCGCACGGCCACACCAGGCCCCCAGCCTGCCTCAAGCATGTCATCCTCATGCCGTTGTCTCAGATCAAGAAAGTGCTAGACATCCGAGAGACAGAAGGTTGGAACATTTCTGGTAGAAGAGGGGGTTTTGAGAATGTCTTCGCAGAATAATGGATTCATATGCTAATGTGTTGACACATGGGCAACCCACAAAATTCCATCCAAAGAAGTTTCACTTTGGGGATCAGTGGAACTATAAATAATCATTAAAAGAACCAGTGTAAGAAAGCAGTCAAATGTCAGTTTTAAACTTGTACTTGAGAGAGAGAAAATTCAAAGCTTTCAGAGCACACACGGACTCTTTCCATGTACCTTGGTACAATCTTTGTGTAAAAACAAAGCATTGCACTTATGCATTTTATCATTTCAGAACAAAACCTTATGTGACTAGCAGTTTGAATCTCCAGTAGAAACCAACCTCATATTCCTGCCCTAAAGATTGATTACTCTCTTCTTTAGATTATGTCACTAATGTGGCTGTAGCAAAAACATAGGTAAAAGTTTCTCCTGACATTAAGTCTAGTTGTGTCTGACTCTGGGGGGTTGTGCTCATCTCCATTTCTAAGCTGAGTCGGCATTGTCCGTAGCCACCTCCAAGGTCATGTGGCCAGCATGACTGCATGGAGTGCTGTTACCCTCCTGCCAAGCCAGTACCTATTGATCTACGCACATTTGCATGTTTTTGAACTGCTAGGTTGGCAGAAGCTGGGGCAAACAGCGGGAGCCCACCCCGCTCCCTGGAATTGAACTGCCAACCTTTCGGTCAGCAAGTTCAGCAGTGCAGTGGTTTAATCCGCTGCGCCGGAAGAGGGCCCTTGTAAACCCCAATTAAATCAACACGATGCCCTTGGAGAACATTGCCGTTTTAATTTCACTTATTTAATCCAGTGCTCAGCATAGCTATGATGATGTTGAATAGTGATGTTGTGTTGACAACCCTCCCGATCTTCTTGGACTGTAAATCCCAGCATTCCTCACAATTGACCAGTCTATCTAGGAATGAATGGAAGTGGCAGTCCAATAACATTCAGAAGAATGGCCCATTCCTGCTCCTGACATGGCTTTGAAAAAAGAGCTCTTTTTATTTAAAAAAATAGTTGTGAGGCTCACTGAGTGACTTTTGACTTTTGCCCAGTAAACACTTTTGTCAAAATTGCGTAGGCAGTCCTGAGCTCTTTGGAGGAAGGCTTGTATAAAAATAACATGCTTTAGTGTGGTAGGGAATTAGAATTCAGTAGCAGTGGACGTGTTTATACCATATCCCACGAACCTTTCCTGATCCCTAAACTCCAATTAATTGCATGTTTGCCTCTGCTCCTGGAGGAGATGCTGAGGGTTTGTATTTGATTGCTGAGCAAAAGAAATAATCTGTGAGTACAGGGAATGGCAGGTAGAATCATTTTACTTGGTACACTGCCATATCTGAAGTGTAACAATTCTTAGAAGTCAGGGCATGACAGCAACACAAATTGTTTTTATTATAGCACGGGGAGGGGGAGAAAGTCCTAAAGGTTTTGAGCCCTCTTCACAGAGGGCATGACAAATAGAAACTCACCTCTTGCTTCTGAATTCTCTGCAGTGACCTTGTTGTGGCTTAACGGGGATACTCTTCACTCCCGTATCTTTATTCAGCTGACATGCCTTTACAACTCACCTTGTCCAATGGGAATTTGTACCCAGTCTCAGTCATTGCAGATTGAAACAAAACATCCTGCAGCCACAATACTGTTTACAGAGTCCTGATGAACTTTGCCCTCTTGCTTTCTGTAGTTAAGAAAAAAAACAACTCACTGTAGATATGGGAGCTTCTCAAAGATATGAATTCCTATAGTTGGCTTAGTCTTTGGTACTTTTAAACTTCTATACTAGTACAATATCTCTTTTGTGTCCCACCTAAATAAGCCAGAAGCATTGTTAGGCACTCCCCCAGAGTCATAGAATCATAGAATCAGAGTTGGAAGAGACCTCATGGGCCATCCAGTCCAACCCCCTGCCAAGAAGCAGGAATATTGCATTCAAATCACCCCTGACAGATGGCCATCCAGCCTCTGTTTAAAAGCTTCCAAAGAAGGAGCCTCCACCACACTCCTGGGCAGAGAGTTCCACTGCTGAACGGCTCTCACAGTCAGGAAGTTCTTCCTCATGTTCAGATGGAATCTCCTCTCTTGTAGTTTGAAGCCATTGTTCCGTCCTAGTCTCCAGGGAAGCAGAAAACAAGCTTGCTCCCTCCTCCCTGTGGCTTCCTCTCACATATTTATACATGGCTATCATATCTCCTCTCAGCCTTCTCTTCTTCAGGCTAAACATGCCCAGCTCCTTAAGCCGCTCCTCATAGGGCTTGTTCTCCAGACCCTTGATCATTTTAGTTGTCCTCCTCTGGACACATTCCAGCTTGTCAATATCTCTCTTGAATTGTGGTGCCCAGAATTGGACACAATATTCCAGGTGTGGTCTAACCAAAGCAGAATAGAGGGGTAGCATTACTTCCCTAGATCTACACTATGCTCCTATTGATGCAGGCCAAAATCCCATTGGCTTTTTTTGCCGCCACATCACATTGTTGGCTCATGTTTAGCTTGTTGTCCACGAGGACTCCAAGATCTTTTTCACACGTACTGCTCTCGAGCCAGGCATTGTCCCCCATTCTGTATATTTGCATTTTGTTTTTCCTGCCTAAGTGGACAAGTCACACAAATAACATGTGTTATCAGAAAATGGAGCACTAGTTTAGCTCCTTATGGGGAGGAATGAATTAGTCTGTAAGTTGCTTGGAGATAGTTAAGCCGTTAAATGTTGATTTTGGTGCTTTACTGATTGTCTCAGTCCCAAAATATTTATGCCCAACACTAAATGTTTAAAATAATTTCTCTCTTCTTCATAGACTGCCACAAAGCATTTGCATTGATTGTGCGACCCCCAACAGAACAGACCAACTTGCTGTTCAGTTTCCAGATCACAACCGAGGAGCCTCCCAAAGAGGACTGGCTGAAGATGCTCTGTCGGCACGTGGCCAACACAATATGCAAAGCCGACAGTGTAAGTTCCCAGATGAGAGAGAAATAGCACAGGAACTCTTGTGTATCACTATTCATTTTACTGATAATACATTGGCACTGATAGACAAAGGCAGGAGGGCAAATGGAATGCTGCTAAATTTGCCACGTCTTGAACAGTTGCCAATTATTTTCACAAAATTCAAAATGCCTTGTAAGTCAAATTAGCTTGTTATGGCTGTATTACTCCAAAGCAGTGCAGTGTACAAATGCAGCAGTTTTTTGATTTGCATGTCATGCCTGAACATCTATTGCATTGGTACTCAATGTTTAGTGATGGATAAACATTACTATATGTTGATGTGATTCATCTGTCTACCTGTGGGATTTGGTGCATGACAAACAGCAACAACAATAATAAAAAAGGATGAGAGAAGTGGGGTACTTTTCAGGAACACTTTAGACCTCACAGCCTCTGAGGATGCCTGCCATAGTTGCAGGCAAAACATCAGGAGAGAATGCTTCTGGAACATGGCCATTCAGCCTGAAAAACTTACAACAACCCTTTGGGTTTTTTAGATTTCTAAAAGCTGCCTGGTCAATCTATTTTAATGACTATTTTTATCTTTTATTTTCTTTTTATCTCTTGGTGCTAGTGATTATATTGCCATTTTTATTGTTTCCATTGCCTTATGTATAGTTTTTAATTTTGTTTGATATCTTGAGGTTGATTTGAGAAAAAGGTACAGGGTTGTTGTTTTGTGTGTGTGTGTGTGTGTGTGTAAGAGGAGAAACTTGAGAAACTGCAAGTTGCTTCTGGTGTGAGAGAATTGTCCATCTGCAAAGATGTTGCCCAGGGGACGCCCAGATGTTTTGATGTTTTACCATCCCTGTGGGAGGCTTTTCTTATGTCCCTGCATGGGGTGCTGGAACTGACAGAGAGAGCTCATTCACGCTCTCCTGGATTTGTACCTCCAAACCATCAGCTTTCAGATCTGCTAGCACAAAGGTCTTAACCCATTGTGCCACCGGGTGCTCCTAAAGTAAAAGAGGTGTTAAATACATTCAAAATAATCTTAGTACTAGTACAACTTCTTTGTGTTTGCCACTAGATTTGTGGTGATCACCAAAATGATTAGATCTTAAGGTGAAAAGAGGATTTGCCAGACGTACTTCCAAAAACCAATAATAGGGTGCTTCCAGAAATGTGCCATTCCCTTATTTACAGAGAATGAATCTAGTGTACCGTATTATTGCTCAGTCAACATAATATTATCCATATATCCTGTTCCTAACTCATTTTATTCCACTGGGAATTAATTTGAAATTGTAGCTTTAGCATGTTCCAACTATCACTATTTCATTGAGATACATTGGTTTGTCTTCACTTGTGAAGCTATAAGTTCACAGAACTCAGGAGGGTTCTTTTCATATGATTAAAGTTTGTCCTATGCTGAGTTAATAAATAGCATAGTAAATGTAATCCATAGAGCTTTTAGAAGGGAATAGGAAATTACAAAAAGATTCCAACACAGGTATATCTCAGTTAATGAAGTAAGTTTGTTCTTAGTCTTTTATAGAAAATTTGGTGCCATGGAAATCATAGAGATAGCTTTGTACACTATGCAAAAAAAAAAGAAAAAAAGAGAGATAGAGAGTGAGAGAGTGAGAGAGAGAGTAGTTCAACATGTTTCAGAAAGTTTTTTATTCCAGACTAACATTATGAGCATGTAAAATGAAACAATCCGGTCTAGTAAGCCTTGCATAAGTAAGGAAATTTTTAATATTGTAGAAACCATTTGAAAGCCTCTTTCAAAATGCACCTCAGGATGATTTTTTCCCCTTCTTTGAACCACCTTTCAACCATTTTGGTGGCCAAACTTATAGATATATGCTTCTTTTCAGTATGCTAGGACAGCTGGTGAGGCAGTCTTATGCTGCTGTCCCCCTTTCCCCTGTTTTCTTTTTAAATATGCTTAATAAGTCGTTGTGGAGGCAGCTTTGCTGTTGTATGGAAGCACACACAGCTATTTATTTATTTATTTCGCGCATTTCTACCCTGCTCTTTTCAATCCTCGAGGGGGGACTCAGGGCGGCTTACAAAAGGCACAATTCGATGCCAACAACAGACAATAAGATAAAACATGTATCAACAGCAATTATACAACAATTAAAACAATCAAGTTATACATCACAATAAATAAAAACCACAGAAGCTACAGAAGAACCACAAAAAGAATCCTGTTCATTCTCTGGTCAAGCTTTATTACAGTATTTACTGAAGACATGATTTTTTTTCTTTGTGTCAGGAGCAACTTGAGAAACTGCAAGTCGCTTCTGGTGTGAGAGAATTGGCCGTCTGCAAGGACGTTGCCCGAGGGACGCCTGGATGTTTTTGATGTTTTATCCTCCTTGTGGGATACTTCTCTCACGTACCCCCAAATGGGGAGCTGGAGCTGACAGAGGGAGCTCAATCTGCTCTCTGGATTGAAACCGCAGTCCTGCCGGCATAAGGGTTTTAACCCATTGCGACACTAGGAGCTCCACTGAAGACCTGATGCTGCAGCCCAACACTCAAAGCTTTTTTCCCTCCCCACTCCCCCTTCACCATCTTCCAGTGCCAATGCTGTAAAACAAAGCAAAACTAACAAAACAAAACTTTAATCTAGACAGAAAATGGAAAAAAAACAGGGTGGGAATGCACTCCCTTAAAATGACTTTGTTACAGGTGTTATACTATATGAGTGGGAAAATGATAAAATAAAACATTTGAAGTCATGTTAAATTATTGAGTAAACAGAATTCAAAGCACATAACCATGTCAGTCTGGATCAGTATGCAAAGGGATCTTGCAGCACCTTAGAGACAAACGGAGAAGGAAATATCAGTATCATAAGCTTTTCGGGTATGCTTCATTAGATGCCTTTTCTCAGTCTCAGAAACATTACAAGATCCCTTTGTAGTCAAGTGAACAATTTACTCCATGTTTGACCAAGTGTGTGAAACCGTGTTTAACATTAATATAACCTTGCGGTTAATTTTGAAACTCTGTTCTTCAAAGCATATTAAAATAATTAGTTGAAATGGTGTGGAACCGATGATTAAAATCAAATTTATTATGTTTTTCTAGGCCTTTAATAAAATTTATGGTAAAACAGCCTATGCCAATATTTTAATATTCCTAACGTCATATCGAGTATCTAGGATTTAATATCTGACATACAGGAAGGCTAGTGCTGAAGTAGAATAGGCTTTGCAGAGTCAAATATCTTTAAAATTTCTTACAAACAGGTTGAAAATTCTCATGTACACTGACAAACTCATCCCACATGGTGGCAGCAGAGGCTTTATCTTTTCTACTTTCAGGCTAAGCCATGAAATAGTCTGAAGCCATGAAGAGTAACTGTTTACATGTATAAGTACTATGCACAATCTAATGTACACATTTCCCCTTTTGCATAAGTAAAACATCTAGATTTTGATGAAGAAATTTGAGCACTTAAGCTAAGATATTTGCACGTAGATCTTTATTTCAGGATGATTTTCTTGACCATTCTTTTTATTAGGAAAATCTAATTTATACAACTGATCCTGATTCCATTGAAGTAAACACTAAAGATATGGACAGTACATTGAGCAGAGCATCCCGGGCCATAAGGAAAACATCCAAAAAGGTAAGATTATAAGGGATTAAAAAAGTGTTTCTCTGAAGTTACTTACCATATCTACTCGAGTATAAGCCAACCCGAATATAAGCCGAGGCATCTAATTTTACCACAAAAAACTGGGAAAAACGAATGAGTATAAGCCGAGGGTGGAAATGCAGCAGCTACTGGTAAATTTCAAATAAAAATAGATACCAATAAAATTACATGAATTGAGGCATTTATAAAATTGTAATTTAAAATAAGACTGCCTAATGCTGATTAAACCATTATTCTAACCTTCTTCAATGTAAATGTGCTTATGTATCCTTCCAATAACAATAGAGTAAAATAAGAATGTAATAATAATAATAATAATAGAGTAAAATAATAAATGTAATAATAAGAGTTAAAATGTAATAATAACAATAATAAATATAGTAATATAATAAATGTAATAATAACAGTAATAAAGTAAAATAAGAAATGTAATAATAAATAGAGTAAAATAAGAAATGTAAAAATAATAATAGAGTAGAATAATGAAAATGTAGTAATAACAACAACAATAGATAAAAATAAAAATAATAAATAGAGTAAAGTAATAAATGTAATTATAATAATAACAAGTAAAGGTAAAAATTTCCCCTTGACATAATAAATAATAATAATAATAATAATAATAATAATAATAACTTTATTTATACCCCGCTACCATCTCCCCAAGGGACGCGGTGCAGCTTACATGAGGCCATGCCCACAGTATATCAATAAACAAAAACAATAACAAAACATCAAAGCAATACAATTAATATAAATCACATAACAAAAATAAACAATAAATCAACAGTAACACACAAGCATTTAAAACTAATGGCTGGGCCAAATGTAATAGATTAAAATTTAAAATAATGCTGGACGTGGACAAGGTAGGATATAACTTGGGTAGAATTTTCAAGGAAAGATGAAGGAATGCAATCAATCCCAAATCAATGGTAAAGTGCATTTTGAGAGCATATTACTGACATTAAATCTAGTCGTGTCCGACTCTGGGGCCTGGTGCTCATCTCCATTTCTAAGCTGAAGACCCAGCATTGTCTGTAGACACCTCCAAGGTCATGTGGCCTGCATGACTGCATGGAGCGCGGTTACCTTCCTGCCGAAGCGATACCTATTGATCTACTCACATTGGCATGTTTTTGAACTGCTAGGTTGTCAGAAGGGGGCTAATAGCGGGAGCTCAACCCGCTCCCCCAGATTCGAACTGTTGACCTTTTGGTCAGCAAGTTCAGCAGCTCTGCTGTGCCACCAGAGGCTCCAAATAAAGTAAAATAATAAATGTAATAATAATAAATAGAGTAAAATAATAACTTTGACTCGATTATAAACCGAGGGGGGCTTTTTCAGCCTCAAAGTACAGGGTTAGTCAAAATGAATAGGCCAATAAGAAAATTAATTTTAGACAAATGTATGTTTACTGTAACCAAACCACAGCTACGTAGCGACAGATAAACTATCAAAGTTTTTTTTGAGCAACACACATGTACGTTAATGCCGCTAGGCGTCGCTGTTTTCAAAATGGCGGAATCAAGCAAAGAGAAGGCGTTTTGTGTGATGACATTTGCTAAAACAATGTCAGTAATTACGGTCCAGCGAGAATTTCAAGGGTTAGGGTTAGGGTTAGGGTTAGGGTTAGGTAGGGTTGGGTTAGGGTTAGGACCTCAACGAACACCTTCCCAGACGTTGCTGCATTCGATGCCATTACGTCGGATGTGCTGCAACGGATGTGGAATGAACTGGACTATCGCTTGGACATCTGCCGTGTCACACGGGGCGCCCATATCGAACATCTCTGAAGGTGAGACAAAACTTTGATAGTTTATCTGTCGCTACGTAGCTGTAGTTTGGTTACAATAAACATACATTCGTCTAAAATTAATTTTCTTATTGGCCTATTCATTTTGACTAACCCTGTATATATAGATATGATTTTGCCTTCTTTCTCAGTTGCTATATTTATTTATTTTATTTGTTTAATTTTCAATATTTTTTGGGTAGATTTCCTCCAAGGGAGGCTTACGTCCACAAAACTGCAAACTTCTGTCCCTGTAAATTACCTATTTAAAATGCTCTAGATAAATTTACCCCTTTAAGTCAAAGAACATACACACACTCTTTTGAAGAGAGAGTATTTTCTACTGACAACTGGTAGTCACATTTTTGCACAAATGTAGCCTGTAATGAGTCACAGTTTTATGAAAGGCTTTCACTTTGTGCGTTCGCGTGTTTGTGTGTGGTGTGAAGCTTGAGAATCCGCTTCAGTACAAGCATCACTTCAGTATTTTTCAAACTGAAACTTTCTTTTTGACCACAAAGAAAGAGATTAATTAAATTTAGATTCAATCCTGGAAAAGCAGAGTCTGCATTTCTTCCATTTGATTGTAGTTTGATTCAACTACTTGCAACTTCTTCTCTGCTCTCCATTTATGTAATTTGTTATATGTGTATTTATCTTATATATTACAGAGTGTGGGGATGGGAAGGGAGAGAGGGACTTCTTGCCAATGGAGGATAAATGTTTCATGCGTCCATAAAGCTTATTAGATTTGTTAGCCCTTAAGGTATAAATCAAAAACCAACTTGAAGGTGTGTGCGCGCGCATATACACGCTCACACAGTAGTGTAAGACTCTTGGTTGCCTTGTTTTAAAAAGTAAAGTGGGTGGATAAAGTTGTTTTGAGATGGGATTGTTCCCTTCCCCACAGCTATACATCAGCTACAGGGGCCAAGGAAGACCTCTTACTTTTGCCAGGAGAACAGGGTGTTTACTTCCATCCCTCTTTCCAGTTTTAAGCAATCTCCAGACATTTTGTAAGGGTCTCTTTTGGAAAAAGAAACAGGTCTCGTGGGCCTGGAACTAGTTTTGATTAATGTTGCCAAAACATAAGGATGCTGGCTTGCATAAAATTCATAACCAACTTCAGAACTTTTTTTTATCATGTCTGAAGCGACTTGAGAAACTGCAAGTCACTTCTGGTGTGAGAGAACTGGCCATCTGCGGAGACATTGCCCTGAGGGCACCTGGATGTGTTACCATTCTGTGGAAGGCTTCTCTCATGTCCCCACATGGGAAGCTGGAGCTGACAGATGGGAGCTCACCCAGTCTGTGGATTCGAACTGCCATTCTCTCATGTCCCCCCACATGGGAAGCTGGGCTGACAGCTGTTGAGCTCACCCAGTCACTTGTTGATCTTTTTCCCCTTTTTTTATGTCTTTCTTTGCGGATTCAAAACTGCCAAGCCAGGAGCCCCCATCGCCCCACTCCACCCACCATGGAGTGCCCCCAAATCCATCCCTCAGACCCACAAATTTTTGAATTTATTATGCGTCCACGACCTAAGGGTGGTGAACGTACCTGCGGGACCGATTAGATGGGCATTTCTGGCTAGTGTACTGTCCCCCTCGTCTGCTACCAGTCCACGCCGTCGGCCACTACTCCCGTCGCTGCCTAACCAGACAACAGTGCTCCCTCTCTAACCTGAGGCTATAAGCGGGGGTGTCCTCCCGACACTTAGGCCCCCCCCCCCCCCCCGTTGGAGTCTCAACACCGGCTTTTTGGTGCTGGGGCTGACTTCACACATCCTTGTGCCGAGGGCTACCCCTCCAACGCAAGAACAACAGGATCGGCTCAGGACTTCATGTCTGATGTGTCCTGGCCATGGCAGAACCAGTGAGGGGGGCTGTGTCGCCATCCAGGACAAATATCGCTTCCTATCTCTGGTGGCTGGATCTGGCCCCACCCATTGTGCTGGACACACATTTGACTTTGTTTTTTATTTTGGTTTTTGCTCCCTGCCTGGGGAATGGAGCCAAGGGTTGGTGGCTGTGGTTCTGAGGACGTTGTCTATCCTCTATATCTATCTCTCTACTCCTCCGTTGGCCAATGGTGGAGGAACTGTCTTTAGTCCCACTGCCATGGACCGATCACCACTTGGTCAAGTTTAGACTCACTGCACCCCTTAACCTCCACAGAGGTGGAGGGCCCATTAAGATGGTCCTCCCCAGGAGGCTTATGGATCCAGAAGGATTCCTGACAGCTCTTGGGGAATCTGCAAGTCACTTCTGGTATGAGAGAACTGGCTGTCTGCAGAGACGTTGCCCTGAGGGCACCCGGGTGTGTTACAATTCTGTGGAAGGCTTCTCTCATGTCCCCACATGGGAAGCTGGAGCTAACATACGGGAGCTCACCTTGTCTTGCAGATTTGAACCGCCAACTTTCAAATCAGCAGTTCAGTCGGGGCAAGGGTTTAACCCATTGCAGCACTGTGGCTACTCAAAAAAATTAGAACTGATTTGTATAAACAAAATCATAATACATTTCACCCAAGTTGGAGAAAACAGCTAGGTGAATTGTGTTTGCTCTGTCACCTGTTCAGAGATGGTGGATATGCAACTTGAAAAGCCTCTGGTTTCCCATCTTATGGGTCTTTCGATTACATTATGCCTCGCCACACTTTCGAAAGGAGGTCTCTCTTCTGTATAAGGGCATATAAGCTGAGTCATTTAGGACAACAAGAAGTCATTCTTAGTTTTTATCAGTTGTTAGAATACCACATTTTGGGACACTGTATCTGCTAGCCACCAGTGAGAGAATTACTGAGGGCCGGGGCTTTAGCACAACTGGTAAATCACCAGCAATGATAAGGTCTACCAACCAAAAAGTTGCAAGTTCGAAGCCCCGAGTTGGCATGAGCATTCAACTGTCAGCCCTGCTCACTGTTTACCTAAGCAGTTTGAAAACAACTTTCAGCCGTGATTCGAGAAATTAGGTACCACTAATGTGGAGGAAGGTATTTTATGATACCATTAAAAAAAGGATCAAAGAATACCGGTGACCAAAAGGAAGGAGGAAGTCCTGATGGCTTTTTATCATAGAGGATGGAGCGACAGTGCCCCCTGTGGCTGGCAGCTTCCAAAATGTGCCTACAAGCTGGATGTTCAACTGGATGTCAACACAACACAATATATACTTCCTTTCTGTCCGTCTGTTTTCGTCCCGTCCAGAAATGGCATTGAATGTTTGCCATGTACATCCACTCTGTGATCCACTCTGAGTCCCTTTCAGGGTGAGAAGGGCAGAATATAAATAAAGTGTTTTTGTTGTTGTTGTTGTTGTTGTTGTTGTTGTTGTTGTTCTTTCCATGAATGGAGTGAATCCCACTTCCTGCTGCCAACCAATCCTGTCTATGCCCAGAGGCCAGTGAAAAGGAACATACATCAATAGCAACCATTTCTAAGAATGACTTCGGTAGCTAGGATTACAATGGGTGGGTGCTTTGTCTGGGATGTGTAGAGGAAAATGAATTGTCTGAATTTGTAGATGAAAACTACAGGAAAGGAGATTCTACCTGAATAATTCTAACTGAAGAATTCTATTCCGCTTTGGTTAGACCACACCTGGAATATTGTGTCCAATTCTGGGCACCACAATTCAAGAAAGATATTGACAAGCTGGAATGTGTCCAGAGGAGGGCGACTAAAATGATCAAGGGTCTGGAGAACAAGCCCTATGAGGAGCGGCTTAAGGAGCTGGGCATGTTTAGCCTGAAGAAGAGAAGGATGAGAGGAGATATGATAGCCATGTATAAATATGTGAGAGGAAGCCACAGGGAGGAGGGAGCAAGCTTGTTTTCTGCTTCCTGGAGACTAGGACGCGGAACAATGGCTTCAAACTACAAGAGAGGAGATTCCATCTGAATATGAGGAAGAACTTCCTGACTGTGAGAGCCGTTCAGCAGTGGAACTCTCTGCCCCGGAGTGTGGTGGAGGCACCTTCTTTGGAAGCTTTTAAACAGAGGCTGGATGGCCATCTGTCAGGGGTGATTTGAATGCAATATTCCTGCTTCTTGGCAGGGGGTTGGACTGGATGGCCCATGAGGTCTCTCCCAACTCTTTGATTCTATGATTCTAAGAGGAAGAACTTCCTAGCTGAGAGAGCTATTCAGCAGTGGAACTCTTTGCCCCAGAGTGTGGTGGAGGCTCCTTCTTTGGAGGCATTTAAACAGAGGCTGGATGGCCATCTGTCGGGGGGGTGCGTTGAATGTGATTTTCCTGCTTCTTGGCAGGGGGTTGGACTGGGTGGCCCATGAGGTCTCTTCCAACTCTATGATTCTATAATTGTATGGTTGGACTACACATAATGTCAGATGAGATGATGGCCTTATTTATTCCTTGATGATTGGCAAGGAGTATAACAAAATCCAGGAAATCATTACATAGCCGAAGCTTAGTATAAAAACTGCATACTGTCAAACCTGAGATTGAATTCCAAGCTGCACGACTTCACTTCTTGTTTACCTCTTTTGTGGCTGTGGTTGCACTTTGCAGGTTACCCGAGCCTTCTCTTTTTCCAAGACGCCCAAGAGAGCCCTTCGAAGAGCATTGATGGCACACAACAATGTGGACGGAAAGAATTTCTGCCCAACGAGCGACAGCTACTTAGGAGGGCGCCTTGCCAGTACTTCATCCCTAGCGGTAAGTGACTTGCCTGGGGAGACGGACTCTTTCACTGTCCTTATTTGAATAATGAAATGTATTCTGGCATGTTTGTTAATCTCTCTGAATTCATAACAACTACATGGGTGATGTGATTAAAAGACGTTATCAACTGAATTAGATAAGTGCATTGTAAATGTCAACCAGAAGTGAGTATACATGGTGGAGATGCTGGGGAATGTATTTAACAGAAGGAAATCTCTCCCCTTGTGGTTGGTTTCACATTTTTGAGAAAACATGGCATTAACTAAACCTGAGCGATGGGGGTTCTTTGAGATTTGTATCCATTAAAGAATAATCTTGCCACAGAGAAATGTCTCCGATAATGCAATACTTGCAAATGTGTGTGTGTTTAGGTCGGATATTGTTGAGAAATTTGAATGCAAAACTTATTCTTGTAGAAGTAAAGGCTCCTGAAAAAGAAGGGCCAGAAACAGGAATTTTAAATAGCACAATGTGAAGATCAGATCAAAACATGAAATGAAACTTTTTAATTGTATATTTAAATGTGGAGTTGTACTTAGTGTCATGAGGTGATGACTAGTGAATTATAGCCCAAGTGAATGACTAGTGAATTATAGCCCAAGATTGGGGGGGGGGGGGTTCTTTTGTTTTGTTTTTGACATGACCAACTTTTACCTTTTCATACACCAGGCCATAATAAAAGAAACTTCAGTGAATTCTTTGTCCCCCAATCTCTCTTCAAGTGGGGAGGCTTACTCTTTTCTGAAAACTAAATTGGTTGCTTTTTAGCGCTATTTATTTTTGGTCAAAAGATATTTGGCCGCCTGCACACCTATTTTTATCAGTTTATACTAATTTATGCAATGCTTTTGATACAAAATAAAATAGGCGCTATTTATAGTTTTAATTGTATTTTGTTTTAATTTGCATTATAAACCTCTGAGACAAAGATGGCATAAAAATGAATCAATTAATTAATTGTGTTGTTGAAGGCTTTCATGGCAAATCACTGGGTTGCTGTGAGTTTTCTGGGCTGTATGGTCCTGTTCCAGAAGCATTCTCTCCTGACATTTTTGCCCACATCTATGGCAGGCATCCTCAGAGGTTGTGAAGTTTGTTGGAAACTAGGCAAGTGGGGTTTATATATCTGTGGAATGTCCACGGTGGGATAAAGAACTGGAAGCAAGTATGAATGCTGCAATTGATCATCTTGATTAACACTGAAAAACCTTGCAGTTAAAACTCTAAAATCAGGACAATAAATAAAGAACAACACTCAAACACAGGGGAAATCCAGACAAGAAACAATCAGTTCCAACCAATCACATCCCAACAAACAATTCCCCCCAGGCAGGAAGCAGCCAAGCTTTAAAGCTTCAAGGCTATTCAATGCTAATCAAGGATCTTAATTGCAACATTCACACTTGCCTCAAATAGACAAGAGTTCTTTCTCCCACCCTGGACATTATTCCACAGATATATAAACTCCACTTGCCTGGTTTCCAACAAACCTCACAACCTCATGGATGCCTGCCATAGATGTGGGCAAAATGTCAGGAGAGAATGCTTCTGGAACATGGTCATACAGCACAGAAAACTCACAGCAACCCAGTTGAACACATTAATTTCATAATCCCAAGGAGTTTTCCTTCTGGAACTGTATAGCTAGGCCTCCTTCTAGAAAAGGTGTATCTACAACATGAGAGCGAGATATTTTCGTTTCTTCTTTAGTCCTCCCTTCAGTTCTTGTACAGTTACATGGTTCTACACCTGGAAGATAATATGAAGAAATCTCTAATGTTTCCTGTAGTAATGATTTATAAGCCTTTTGGAAATAGTGCTGATATTGTTGAGCCACAACCATGGGCCCATTTTGCAAGGAATTCATTTTTCCTCTGTAAAGGATATTCCTAATAGCAGATTTTGTTAGTACCGGTGGGTCCCCGGGTATTAAGGGCCCATAACTCCCAGAAACCCCAGCCAGTTTGCTAGCTGTTAGGATTTCTGGGAGTTGAAGGCCAAAACATCTGGGGACCCACAGGTTGAGAACCACTATTCTAATAATTCTGCATTGATGTTAGTACGAACCGGAATGAAGACACATTTTAAACTAAGTTTAAACCAGTTGTTGCTCTTTCCTCGGGATCTCTTCTTAAAGAAGCTACTTGAGTAATTAGTATTTTTTCATTATACCATATTTCGCAACCTGAGCAGCTGAAACAATTTTTGGGAGGGGAGGAATGTAAATTCTTCTAATAAAAATGGAGATGGTTAGTCATACTGGGTAACAATATCATAATCTCTAGATTATGGCGCAGTTGACTGAGTGTCAGCTGCCTTAAGATCACTCTGACCAAAAGGTCATGAGTTCGAAGCCAGCCTGGGTTGGAGTGGGCTTCCAACCAACTGTGTAGCCTGTTGTCGACCTTTGCAACCTGAAAC